ATATATATAATATTTTAAGATTACATCGCGGCAACAACGAGTAACGTTGAAACACGGGCTTTCTTAGAATACTACTAGATCGTGGGTCCGTTCCCCCCCCGGTATTATCAAATTAAATACGATGAAGTAATAAGATGATACTGATTTTTACCGAATGGTTCCATCGCGCAGAAATATATCAGTGGCGACACACACATCGGTTGCGTGAAGGAACGGAATAGAAAAATAGGGCCTTAAAATATAAACAAAAAAAAAAAAAAAGAAAAACAAAACAAACAAATGACGGAGTCTGTCGGAATGTTCTCCTATATAATAATCATCGAAAGAGAGTGAACACAACAACAACAACCTCTTGGGGATGATTTTTGATCTCGCTGCTTCGTATTGCATTTTTTGAATGTTTTCTTATTTACAAAGGGAATTAAACAAAAAAAAAAAAAAAGAAGATGAAAGAGACGATAGGAAATAAAAATAAAAAGGGACATTTTAAAACAACGTCTTATAATCCTCTGACATTCAGTATGGTAGCGATGATCGACCCATGCATCTAGAAAGATTGACGATTATTAGCTTTCGAAACACGAGTACCTTTGTCATATTAAATGCTGAGCGCTGTGATATCGCGTACATAAACATTTTAGTGTTGTAAACGTAAATACACATATTGTAATGTTAACGAATATTATCTCCTTTATATACGAAGACTGAATCTCTCGCCAACTTACGAATAACAAGTTTAGCAAGCACAGGTATAACACATTGATATATTATATATAATATATATATGTGTATCCGAATGCCTATTTGTATATTATTAGTTTACAATATCATGTCCTACGCAATGGTTGTTGGACGTGCCAGTACTGTTATGTTAGTTTGATGAAGAGAATGTGGGTATTTTTATTGTGCGTCGTAATTTACCAAACGGAACTACTCAATTCTGCAATTCTCTCTAAGGTTGGGTCCAATTTTGTCAATGTTTTTTATACTTCGTTATATTATTAATTTACGCGATTATACTTTTAAATTATTTCTATATATATATATATACATAATAAAAAAAAGAAACAAGTCGCGTACGTATGGACCACGCGGTACACAACAACTTACAAGCGCAAAAAAGGAAAAAAAAAAAAAAGAAAAGAAAATAATTACACGGTGAAAATTAATAATAATAATAATAATAATAATAATAAGAATAATAATAATAAAAAAGTTAATTAAATATGATTAATGGACGAATTTTGAACTCCCATGCGTATTCTTCTTCTTCGTGCTTAATTCGAATCTATCGACACTAGTTGTAGGATAGTTGGCATATGAGAAGAAAGCAAATGAGCTGAATTCAGTCCGTTCAATGTATCAAGGGGTAATTATTATGAAGAAATATGAGATGATCGCATATTATAATATGTGCTTTGTTATAGAATATTTTATGAAACTAAACGTTCATTTGACAATGTTCTAAAGTTCAATCTCAATCTGAGAGGATGCGGTCGAGTAGTAGTCTGTAAAAAGAGAAAGAAAGAAGAAAAGCAACATTAAAAAAAAAAAATAAAATAAATAAACCACGTTGTCTGGTATTGTGAGACGAATGATTATGCCGGATATTTGCATATGCGTTAATGCAGCATTAACAATACATATATCATTATTCTTTTTATATATATATACACATAATATATATATATATATATATTTTTTCCCTCGAAAATCTTCGTTGAGCGAAAGTAATTTCAGACAGAATTCGCATCGATTCTCATTGTCATAAACCTTTTCATTTTTTGTTTTATATTTTTAAGTAATACATACAAAATCATAATTACGTTTATGCAATGTTGATAGTAATACCTATTTCGCGATAAATCCACGATGTTTATTAAAAAAAAAAACAAAACGGTATATTGTTTTAAGAGTAAAATCACTATCCATCGATTTTATAATATTATTTTTTTCTTAAGAAATTAGAATTACTCGAGATTCAGGCTGAAAAGGGGATATACAATGTTGTTGCGGGTTATGTTGAATTCTGTCGTTTAAGGAATCTTGCTCGGGAAACTACGGATTATTTCTCTTGTAATCTAAAGGTAGAGAAAATATACATACATATACATTTACAATGGCATTCCTTGTAGTTCGAACATTTAATATTTAAGAAATCCTGAAATTAGAAGGATAATTTTGTTATCTATACGTACGTAGGTGTCTGCCTTATTTTTGTTTCTTAATTTTAACTTATCCATTCTCTAAATTTTAGAGAGCCAACCCTTTTCTTAAACTAAGAATCTGGGCACCCCCGTGAGCGCTTCTAAAGAGCTAAATCGAGTAGTCGAAGTAATAAAAAATTAAGTGTCGCAAGTGTTACTGAAAAGGGGAAAAAAATAAGAAATGAAGCGATATTTCATTTGCGAAAAGTATAATCGTACTTTACCGACCAGCGATATATATATTATTACTACTACTACGTATATAACGTGTAAAACTAACGCGTTTTTCTTTGAAGAGCATTATCGTCGATATTTCAATTTAAAATTTATGCCGTAATTTAAAGTGGCATTATTTTCTTTCTTCCTGTAAATGTACTTTCTTTGTGTTCGTGCTTAATATATTAATGATAATAATAATAATTATAATAATTATAATAATATTAATAATAATTATAATAATTAGTGTTACACGAATTAGCAACAAGTAAGTAGTGAAAGAATGGCCAATTATTACAACAAAAAAAAAAGCTTATCGATGTTTTTCAATATTACTGGATAAAATTCTTTAGTGCTTGTGTGTTTCTACAAAAAGAAATGATTTAAGATTGTATCTGTTTAAAAACCTTATTGAGGTTGATTATATAACGATTAAATTCTATCGTTATATATGAAGAATTAATATAGTAATCATTGAAGGTATAAAATATGTTGCAAAATTAAATGAAAACATTGATGTTGACTATCAGAGTTCTCAATTTCTATTATTAAAGATTCGAGATTGGAAGATCTCGCTTGTGCGTAAAATACATACATTGTTTCACTAATGAAAAACTACTATACGCAATATACTTAGAATTTAACACGATACAAGCAAGAGACATCGGTTTATTTGATTTATAGTTAATATCGGAAGCTTAACACTAAACTTTAAGAATAATCACCTGTCATTGTTATTTTCTATAAATTATAAGAGTATTATAAAACACCCATCATGTATTGTGTACACCATAATACCGTACGACAAGCACATTTCTTTCTTTATATTATTATATTTTATTCTTTATATTTAAAGCGCCAAACTTTTCAAATTTTTTGATAAGTTTAGTAGGTGCTTTGTGGTAAAGAGAGAGTTTATATAATTTCTATATTTAACAAATACTTGCACTCATCAAATATATAATTCGTTAATTTGATTTTCGATTCTTACGTTTCGTGTTTGCGAACGATATATTATACCATTGCTAAACGATTAATATTATCATTAACATACATTGAAAATGAATTCTTTTTATGTTTTTATTTCACTATTTTGTTTTCATTTCATTAATCATATAAACTTTTCTATTTATTTTCTTATTACACTGAATATTAAAAATATATTTGGAAAATATACTAGTCTGTTGAATTAAATGACAAACTTTGTTCTGTAATCCCAAGTAAAAATATATATATATTTTCATTTCATGATTAAAAAGTGTATTATCTAATGCTGAGTCAAACATTGTATTACTCTTAAATAATATAATTAAATTTTGTATATTTTTGATCATTGAGAAATTTACAAAGATGAACATTATAATAAAAACTTTTTTTTTCTTTTTTTACATAAATTAAAATGTTTTTTTTTTCTTTTTTTTTTTTTGAATTTAACGCAAATTCCACATCTTAGGTGATTTTGAAACGGTAAACAATTTTAAAACAGTATGTACGTCTTATTTAGTTAAAAAAAAATGCGTGGAAGATATTTTTGTAAATTTATATGGTGTTATTGCTTTTCTTTGTCTTACATTTTATTCCAATTTTCTAAATATTATGATTTTTCTTGTTTTTTTTTCTCTCTTTTTTTTTCTTGAGCGAAATGACATGATATATTTAAATAGTAATTTACAAATATATCGTACAAAACACATTCCGCCATAAAATTATATCGAAAAGTTAGTAACTTCGTTCTTTGTTCAAGCTATAACTTTTCCTGTTTGTTTTTGTCCAATAAGTTTGATAGATTAATCCGTTTTTACGAAAACGTGTCACAAACATTTGTTGTTAAATTCACTCTTATGTTAATGAGGTTCACTTTCAAATATTATTTAATAATATTTGGATACATTGAAATAACTTTCTAATATGTAAGGTACAATACTAATCAATCAATGTTAATTATGCGCCAATCCATGGATAATAAACGATATCAATTCCAAATATTTGTTAATGTAGTCAATAAATGTACATTATATTAAATGAAATTATTATTTATGTATTGAAATAACATGGTCTAAGCGCTGCTGATGATAATTATTATAATAATAATAATATTTAAAAAAAAAATAAGAAAGAAAGAAAGTAAATCCGTATATATCATAGATTGGCGAAAATAAAATTATGGCCAACAACGACTTGCACGTCATGAGCATTATTTTCACTCTGTTGTAAGTTTCAAGTAATTTTACGTAAAAATTGCAAAATTTGTAATAATTATGGATCTAACATACTTTCTTAAATATACAAGCATATATATATAAAAAGCAACATTGACACTACACATATACGCTCGTGGTTTAGATTTTATATTCTCGACTTATATATTCTTTGCAAATAATATTTTCGAACTTGAATTGAAAACAATATAGGTGTCGTATGTAAGATACAAAGCGTATCGTTGATGTTGTTTAATATTAACATATTAAAACATTCAAGTGAGAATGTAATTGTACAATGAGATCTAAATAATGTGACAAGCAGAAAATTAATTCAATATTTTATTTAAAAAATTCATAACTCACGCGTCTTCTCATTTTCTTTTCATACTTTTAGCCAGAAGGTGGTGCTTTTCATAATAATTTTCGCGATAAACTTTGCAATATTGAAAGATAGTACGCGCTCAATATTATAAAACGCAAGTTCATTACTAATTTTTCATAATCATTCTGACACTTCGAATAGATATAATAATGTGCGTGGTATGTTGTTTTTTAGGTAACAAAAAATGTAATATTTAAAAAACAGTAAATTTATTCCTTTATAATTATTAATATTGCAAATAATAACTATCAATGATACTACATTTCTTTATATTTGATAATGTTTTACGAAAGGAAGTGAAAATGTTTAATAAAAAAAGAAAAGAAAAAAAAACAGAAAAAAGATAAAAAGGAATGTGAGTTTGAATATAAATCATCTTCAAATTTCGGCGTAAGCATTAGTACTTATAATGAAATAGAAAGTCATGAAAGTAGTGTATTTATTTCGTTTGATTATAAATTAAGTTTAGTAATATGTTCTTCACACGAACTCTATATAGTCGCAACGTACTGTATTGTAATTGAATTCTTTAACTAAGGAAGTAATCTAAAAAATGAAATTCATTGAAAATAAATTCAAATGTATTTACACTTATTCTTATTATATCTAAAAAGTATTCAATAAAAATTATCATTCTTTGAGTTAGTAACAAAAAAAAAATTAATATGATAGCTGAACAAAAAGTGCATGAAAAGTAAAACCAGTAACAAATGTTTATGTATATTCAGATTCTCTTCTGTAGGTTTCATTAATGTGCATTTCTTGTATGTTATACAGTATTATGATAAAAAAAAAAAAAATAAGAGAATAAACATCAAATAGCAAAACAGCTCTTTTATTTTAACATATTTACTTTTCAAAGAAATCCAAATAATCCAATAATATCTGACGAGTATTATCATCATCAGGAAAACCAGTAAAAATCGCATTACGAAGAAGGTACGTTTTTATCATGTATATTAACATTATTAATACCATTGTTTATTAGATTATCCAGATAAGATACTTGTGCAAGATTTTTGCGAGCTTCGTGCATACGATACAATACTGGACAATCTAAAGAAGTACAATCAGGATTATCTCGTCGTCCTACACAAGAGTAACATATCTGGAATAATATCAAAGTTTATCATTATATAAAAAAATATATAATGTTGGGGAAAATTATATTTTATTTAATATTACCGAATGGTATACTTACTTCGTTAAGTTGCTGATATGTACGTTCAAACCATCTTATTTTTTCGTAAATTGTGAGGATTGTTTTATCAGGTTGTGCCATACACTCTAAACAAATTTCATTAGTGGACTGTTCTCCGCAAATGTTACACACAGTTGTATTAAAAAATTGACAAATAGTAGATTTTTGATTTTTTGTATTTAAATAGTCTAATTTATCGAATGATTGTCGATGAGACATTTCTTGATACCTGTTTAGGATTTTAATATTATATTTGATTTTAATTTATATTTTTTTATTATATAATATATATATAATATTATATTGCAATTTATGTAACTTACCAGTTATTAACATCAATGCCAAATAAATTAAAACACCGATTTAGAGGCGGTATAATAACTTTGGTTATATAATAAATAGAGTTTGGATATAAACCAGGATCGGACATTACTTCCCATGGTGTACGAACACAATGAATTAGTGCTTGATTTGGTGCACCAGCAGAAATAACATAACGCACACGTTCACCAGTAAGAGGTATTGCTCGAGGATCCTTACGCATTAATCTGCGTGTTAATTCTAATGCTGGGACAACAGCATTGGTTTTATAACCATCTAAACCACGAAATTCTTTAGCAAATGTTAAATCCTCTATTGAGACTCGCCTACATAAAATTTTATTGAATTGTCTAATAAGGTATTTTTTTATTAAAGAGATGTCTGAAGTATCAAATAATATTTTCAATGACTTTTCAAGAATCTAAAAAGTATCGTTAATTATTATGTAACTTACTTTATTAATTTACTTTAAAATAAACATATTTTTATTTTTTGTAATATAGTATACCTTTGAAACAGCAAAACATCCATCTCTACGTACAGTTTCAATACCTTTTGCTAAATATTCAGGAATTTTTTGATCGGAAGTTTCGTACATATATCCACAATAACGTTTCTTTGTCTACAAAATATATGTCGATAAAATAAAATTTAAAGCATTGTAATAAGTACAAATATCAATATTTTCATATTTTAGGTCCTTATAACAGTATAAGGGTACAATTGAAAAATAGTGGTATTTTATGTTTCAGTAGAATTCCTAAATTATAATACCTACTTGTAAAATAGATGGCTGAAGGATTTTTTCAAATTTTAGTTTTATAGGAGGTGGATTAGCAGCTGTAACAGTGTCCGCCATGTCAGCACCAATTTTGAATGCTTCTTTTCGTGATTTTCCAGGTAAAAGAATAAATAAAGAATCTGTATCTCCATAAACTACTTTAGCGCCCCATTTAGGTGTAGATTCCACTATTTTTATAGCACGTTCCAGTGTTTCCCTTCCTTTGCTAACAACACTGTCACCTATCTTTGAACAAGTTCAAAATATACCTCACGTCACGGTCAATATTTATAATAAAATAACAGTTGCTTACATATAATTAATTCATATACCTCAATGCATGGCATTCTGCCACTAAAATTAGCAGATGTATAACCATACGTAACATTTGCTATCAACTTTAAACCTAACTGTTGTGAATGAAGCATACGCTGAAGATTATGATTATCGAACGAATGAAGTTTCATCGAATTCTTTACCATTATACGAGTATTTAATATTTCTGCAAGCATTCTTGGTAATATACCTTTGCGTACTTCAGATTTAACAAAAGCTACACCATTGGGCGCAAAATTCATTTTTCCTAGCAACTTTAAAAGAGTATTTCTATTAATTTTTAATGTCGTTGCGCCAAATACAAATGGTATAGACCTAATGAATATTTTATATTATAGTAAAATAATATTTCATCGAAATAAATATTAATTATACATATATTAGATTTTCTACTTACTGTCCTAAGTGTTCAACACGACCTAAACACGTTGAAAAGCAATAATTATAAGCAATTATAATGCTTGGATATAAACTTTGAAAGTCAAGAACTACCAATGGATCTGTATAAAATTTAGATTCTGGTTCCATAATTAATGGTAATGCTGCTGGTGCACGCATTTTAGCTCTTTGTTGTATAGAAGGTGATACAGGAATAAAATTTAAAGGTTTTGCAAGTCTCAACATCATCGATTCAACGCGAAATTGAGAACCTCGTGAGAATACTTCATAAAATTGTATTCCGAAAAGTCGTGCATGTTCACTCGTTCTACCTGCAGAAATAATATAAATGTTAAAGAACTTATAATATTAAATAAATTAAGTAATAAAAGAAGAGAGAATACTAATTTATTTTACCAATAATATCTAATTGAGAAAGAATTCTTAAATTTCCGGAAACTCTAATAACATAATAGTCAATTACTCTACTCTTCATTGCAATATTTGAATTTTTCCACCAGTTAGTTAATGTCTTATAGTTATGACATGAAACTCTTTCCTTCATCACATTGTACATAATACTTTCAAATGTATAACTTGATAATGCTAAAAGAATAAATTCAATAAATTACTATTTATAAAATATGAATTGTTATATATGTATTAATTTGTTACTGTACTATTAACCCTCTACAATATCATGTAACTTTGAAGTTACACATTTTAGAATATACATATATAGTGTAATTTTGAGAATTGAGACCGTTTACTGCTCATTTTTTAAGTAAAAATCCTAATTTCTTGTTTTCTTATTTTTGAAGTGTGGATATACCGATGAATCAGCCAAGTGCAACTGCATTTTATTCTTTAATGCAATCCAGTTTTTTTGTTTAACTAATCGATCCTTTTTATTATTGTGTAATCTCTATTTTATTATGTATAAAAGAATGTATTATGTATGTTTCTATACATACCTACTTCATGTCTCATTATCCTCCAGATATTAAGAAATATGCGGCCTGGTACTTTTATTTCTGAATCTTCAGAGAACATTTGAAAACTATAAGTAGACGAAATATTTGGAGTTCTTGAAATGTATAAAGGAAATGGTTTAAAGCCCAAACGTGAAGCTCTTTGAAAAATGTAGCCCCAAGATGAAACTTCCACTTCCCAACCAATTAATATATCAGGATCACAGCGACGAATTAATGTTACTAAATTATTTAATAATTCTACCTCGCTTTCTACATATTGTATTGAAGTTGGAATAAGAGGAATGTGAGAGTTAACGAAATTTATTGGTTGTTCACCAGACGAACGGATAATAATTGTTCCTATAATGATATTTAACTTTGATATAAAACGATTAAATGAGTTATTTATAATCCAAAGCGATTAACTCCATTTTTAGAATATTTGAAAATGTTATTATCAAAGTACTTGATTAATACTTAACTTTTCATATTTAAAATACATTTCTTTAATAATTAAGCTTAACACTTCTACTTTTCTCTACTTTTTATTATGTGGAATTAATCGATTAGGCAAAAAAGTGGCTTAAGTATAAATATAAATAAACTACAAATCATACCATACTCCATTTGCTTTTCATCAGAAGATATTGGAATATCATTGTGAATAGCATAAAAAATTGCTTCTATAGGGTCATGTTGCGGATTAGGTAGAAAATCTTCACGTGTAGGAATATGTACTTCCACAGAAAGTAATGTTATATATTGATGCTAACAAAATTATATGAATATAAATTTAAATTACAACCTATCATTGTTTATATTCGAAATTAGATATAATTTATTTACCATAGTTAAAATCCTAGAATTTTGAAGATTTTCACGTGAAGCATTGCCGATTTTTTCATTTATAGAATATTCTATCTGTCCATGAGAAATTCCTAGATATTGTGATTCTCTCTTATCCTTGTGTGTTAATGTATCATTAAATGTATTTTCTAACGTGTTCTTTTTTAATGAATTAGAATTACTAGAAGAAGGAGATTGCCCATTTGTAGAAGTATTATTGTTGTCAACTATACAGATTCATGCAAAAATATTGAATCATTAATTGTGTATAAATTAAAAAATAATATATTTATAGTAATAATAATTTTTTAGTAATAATTTTATTGTGCAATCATTCTTACTTAGTTGATTTTTTATAGGCGGGCAATTCTTCGGTTTCAACCATGCTTTAACAGATTTTACTTGGGGAGGCTCCATAAGAGTTCTTATTGTCAATAAATTATAACCCGCGAGGACTTTTTTCATATGATTTGACTTTATGTTGGATCCAGCAGGATAAAATTCATTTACTTTCATTCGCCGCCATAATTTAATTCCTGTAATTCCCTCTAAACTTGAATTAAATGAAGTAATCACTGGTATATTAAAAGTGTTAGATGACATTTCTTTTTGCTTCATTAAATCAAGCTTATTACTAAAAAATGGTTCTGCTCGAGTCCTCTTTGAAATATCACATGTTGCTAAACTTTGTAATACACGTTCTCGCGTAGGCGGATTAAACTTCGTTATAATTGTAATAGAAACTTTTTTTGTTTTATTGTTCTTGTTTACAAAATAAGTGGACTGAAAAATTTGAGTTTCATTTCTTATTTTTTCTTCAATATATTGTGTAAATGTTACGTTGTGTATATTTTCTTCTGCATCTCCTTCAGAAAAATTTAATTCATTAATTTGAAATGATAAATCTGTAGGAAAATTAGAATAAGCTGTTTTGTCGCTCTTATAACTAATATCTGATTTCTTTTGTTGATGATCTGTAGATAAACTTTTGATATCTAAATTACATTGAGATACTTTAGGTTCAGTTACATTACCTGTAAAAATAATATATTCATTAGATGTTTTTATATTATTATTATATAACATATTCTTACATTTTCTAATGATTTTTTTACATTTTAGATCATCTGATTCAGAGAATACCAATTTCCTAGGAAGTATTTTACAATCTTGTTTTGGAATCTTGGAATTTATTACATTTTTATTGATAGATTGTAATGTTTTAGGAGAACTAATAATAATATTTAATGGTGAATAAGTTTTTGGCGAATTTGGACTTTTTTTTAGTAGTTCTTGCTTATTAATCTTTGACTTGTGCATTTCTTTTTGTAAATTTTCATTATCCATACTCTTAGATTTTATAAGTCTATCACAGTTATGAGTTTTAAGATCATCTGTTTCTTCTTCCTGTTCAATATCAATTACAGTTTGTTTAATAGAATATTTATGGTAATTATAAGTACAACTACGCTTTTTTAATTCATCCGAAATTATTTTATCTGTATCTATTGTAGTGGAAATTGGATGATTTTTAATAGAAAGTGCTGAAGATGATGCAATTTCAAGATTTGGTTCATCGATATATGATTGCTCTGCATGTTCAATTTTCTTTTTCTTACATTTTTTTGATGAGCTACTAATTTTATCAGATTCTGTACTCGTCTTTCTCTTCTTTTTAGATTTTGGACTTTCTACAAAATCATTGGCACCATCAAATTGGGGAAAAGTTAATGTACTTAAATTATTATCACAATCTGTTTGCATATTCTCTTCGTTTGATTTTTGTATTTTTTCTATTAATTTATTTGGTTGATTTTGACTAAGTATAGTCAGGTCCAAATTCGTTAAATTTAGCTGTTCATTTTCATCATCTTCACAATCAGATAATACTTTATTATCTTGTTCTAAATATTGAGATCCTAATATACTGTCATCATCTACAATTTTTTTAACATCATCGCTTTCTGATAAATCAGCTAACATTTCCACTAAATTCATATCATCTTCGTTTACTATAATAATATAAAAAACAGAAACAAGATTATTTGTAATAGTCCAACAAATATTTGGTAACTTATTAATTATTAGTAAAATATATTTTCAATATTTACAAGAACTTGTATTGTTAGAATTGTTCTCGGTTGAAAGAGTTTCTAATGAAAAATATGGAGATAAATCTTTCAAGTTATCCAATTTTGTTCGTTCTTTTTCATTTATTTTTTGTGATGAAGATGGTGTAATATGGTTTACAACACACGAAGCATTTAATGAATCGTCATCCTCTTGTGCTTGTAATGGATAAGAAATTTCTAAAGTTGAGTTTGATAAAGATATACTCTCATCCTCCTAGAAAAAAATAAAATGATATATATGCATTTGTGTAAATGATTTCAATTTGAATTATATATTATATAATAATACACAGTATAAAAGGCACCTAATTTAATTACCTTGAATCATTTTCGTGATAAAGTTGCTGATAAATAAAGCGATCAAAATGGAATAAGAACTAAAATAGATTATGTTGAACTTTTGAATCTTTATAAAGTGCCTTATAGTAGATGCTAAAAATATTGTTGGTTAATAAATTATTGTTATACATTTGACACAAAAACTATTAGCAAAATTGCAGACGATTATCAAGATTTGTCTCATGTAATTTCTGATGAAGCGATAAATAAAATGATTAGGCATTCCATTTAAAAAAAATAAATAGACCTTTATATCTCCTAAATGTATCCACTTAAAAAGAAATCATGTACACCATATTATGTTTTTTTTGATACCATGTAATTTCTACAGAAATAATTTGTTGTTTAATTTACAATTCAGAAGTTATTTAAGATAATCAAGTTAGGTGCTTCATACTGTATATTCATAATAATAAAAAAAATATATTTACATAAAAATACTAATATATACCTGTAGAATATCTTGAAGTCTTTGAAGGATTCGTTGTTCTTGATTATTATCATTAACTGTTGGTAGTACAATTCGTATTTCAGAACTTCTAGTATACAATAACTGTGAATTAACATCTTCCAAGCCAGCTTGTAATCTTCTTGTTCTTTCCTGTTTCCAAATGTCAGCCAGACCAGGATTTAATTCTATAACTTTACCAATTGCTCGTCGATTTAATATATCATTGGCTTGCGCATCTACTTCTAAAGCACATATAGTTTGACGATTAACGGACATTGGAAGATATTTTTGCGAATCATAGGATTCTAAATTATTCATTTGGTTTGTTTCTTCTTTAGTAGTTGAAAGTGAATTCCAGCGATGTCTAATACTTTTTATATTTATAAAATTCATACCGTACAAATTATAATCCATCATAAATTGTAAAATAAATGGAATATGTGCTTCATGCGGTTGTAATTTCAAATTGCTTATTGCACCATTCTGAAATTGATATTTTGTTATATATTCATTTTCTAGCAAGTATAGTAATAAAGGGTACAAAAAGTATACATCTAGTATGTATAAACATTTAACACCTTTGTGACAGGAAACGTAGTCATATGTCATTTCAAATTCAGAAGAGGAAATTGTATATAGAAGTGAATTGTTATGTTGTTAGTTAGTTCAAAAATTAGTTTTAGTTTTAGTTTCGTTTAAAGTTTAAATATATTGAAATAGATTATATAAGAGCTGTTTGTTGAATTTTTGTAAAAAGAAAAGTTGTATCGGAATCCCTCCAAACCCGGAAGGGACGAAGTATAAATATATAAATAAAATAATAAATAATATTTTTTATATTCATATATATTACAAATAGCAGAACCTTGTCATACTCAGCTATAGATTTATAAAAATTATATGCTTCATTCAGTTAAATCTGTTGACTGACTACCGTTTACTGTGAGTGAAAGTGTCAATATATGCAGAGTGTTAAGAAACAAGGGTCAGACATTTTAAGGACTTACAAGAAAAGTAAAAAGATCTAATTAATAGAGGTCCAAAAACCACCCTTTTGATGTAAATTTTTTACCACCCTGTATATATAAATTTATAATTATATTAAAATTAAAATACACATACTTGTAACAAATCTGCTACTTTCTTTATAATAGACGGAGTATAAAAATAAATTTTAAAAAAAAGATGTTCCCTTTCATGATATCCATAAATAGGACTGTAAAATATTGGAATACAGTCATCATCTTAATAATCAATAATATAAAAATTATATTATAATATATGTATATAATATATATAATATATTTTCTTTCTTTTCTCTTTTTACTTAAACATTTTCTTACATTCCACGAACTAATTGTATTTTGTAAACATGTTGAGTTCTACATGCTGATTTTCCTGCTGATACATTAATGGCATTGTCTATTGATGAACTTAACCGATGCATAAAACTGTTTATATTTTCCTTTATGGTACATGGTACATACATATATGGGAATACACCATGTATATGCAAACATGTTTTTTCTCCTGAAAATATAAACATGACATTATATTGCAGTAATTATTAACAAATAATAAAGCATTAGACAAAACATTCTTTAAATAAAGATTGAATTATCGATAATCATAAGTAAATAAATTTAACCTGTTGAAGTTGGGCCAAATATTCTAATCACAGGTACACGTTTTATTTCATTTCCTCGAAATTCGGAAAATGTTGGATCCAAATCAGAAATAGGATTTGTTTGATAACTATCTATTGTTAATATTCTAACTGAAAACATAGTTTAAGATTATATCAAATTTATGATTATATAAAAGTTTATACCACTATAAAAGAAAAAACAACACTGAACAATTGTATCAAAATATTCACTTCATTTTATGACACCACACATCATTAGAAGATACAAATTTGCATTTGTTTATGCATGTCATATATAATATAATCACATTGTGCAATACAGAAGCAGATCATAGCGCTATCAGTAGTAAGAAGTAGAATTAAATATTACCTTAATTAATATATTACCTCTTATGGTAACAAATGAGAGGCTCTAAGAAGGAAAAAAGTACTAGTAATATTTTTCAAAAATTTAAGATAAGTACATAACTATAAATTAGACATTTTCTAGTTTGTAAAGTACCAATAAAAAATATATACATAAAAGAAAAAAAATCTAAATTGAGTTTATAAATTTTGTAATAATTGGAGTTGTCAAAAATTGTTGATACGAAAAATAATGTAATAATTGTTACAAAATGATTATAACAAATATTAATTTTGTGTTTAATTATACATTTATATTTTTTTTTATATTTTTGGCGCTCTTGTTAAATCCAGATTTTCTCAAGAAGTTAATTTCGTTATTTTTTATTATTAAAGGATTGACTAAAAATAAATAAAAGATGTTTCATTTGTAGAGGCTTTCTCGTTAACAGTTAATACTAACAATAAATGAGTTAATGGTTTCCACTAATTGTAAGATTGCATAAGATTTCTCATTTTTTCATCAGTGGCGGATTAAGTGATAAGCGGACTAAGCGGCCGCGGGGTCTCAAAAAACTAAAAGGTCCCCGAGATCTGAAAATGTTTTTTCATTAGGATTCGAAGAAAATTTATTTTTTGTAGAATAAATTTATTTAAGGTATTATGGTATGTGTGATATAACCGCATACAATGATTGGTATATTTTAAAATCTGCTGGCTTAAATTGATTTATCTTACTGATTATTGATATTAACACTTGCAGCATGATTATTTCCTCATTGTTTAATAACTCTTTGTTACCATCAAAATTGCTTTATAGCTAATTGATTCTACTAACCTTTAAAAAGTATAAATACTTTACTTAATTATTAAAACCATTATTTATATAAACTAATCATCAAACGTGTTTTCCTTCTCTCAAGAATATTTTTCAGTAACATTATATGGTAAGTGGCTTGAATACTGGCTATTACCGCAGTAAGTTTATATATATAGTTTTTTTGTTTGTTAATAACTTAACGGGAGTTTTCTTGAAACTTTTATTTCTAACTTGAGTTTGAGTATCTCGAAATTTGTACAGCTTGGGGCCATATCTTGACTCGATCCGTCATTGCTTATCATAACGAATTGAAAATAAAAGTAGAATTACGAAAATTTTATATTTCACGCTTGTAAGGAAGCTGTGGCCACCTCTATGGCGCTTCAGAACACATTTTGAGAACCACTGATGTTCTATATATGTATGGATATGAAGAAGGGGAAGCTGAAACGATTCAATAGTGTGTGGTAGTGCCGGGTTGAACGTTGGTTATTTTTGATATTTTATACTTTTTTAATTTTGCAGATTGATCGTTATATCAATTGTTCATAACTATTAAACATTGAAAATTAGAACTGTAAGATTTAAAAAAGAAAATGTCTTCAAAGCCTGCATATAAAATCGGTAAGTAATGATACACAAATTCTAAAATATTACAGTAACTTTGTGAACATGTGCTCATTTATTTTGGAGCAATAATTTTGTTGTTATTATATAAAAGTTATTTAAATTATACTATATTGTAGATAAATTTATTATATGTTAGAATGTATATGTATTCAATTTTATGAAATTTCTTTGTTCATCATATATGAGTATCTAATTGTCTATGTTATATTCTTCTAATACATATAATACATGCAGTAAGTTATAGGAGTATTCGTACTAGTTCCTGCTGCAAAATTTGAAATAATTGATATTTGATTGTAATGCGAAGCTTCAAAATTTGTACACATAAAAACCTATTTTAGGATCGTAAAACTGTCAAATTGATGTCAATTTTATTGTATTAAAGGATACAATATTGGTCTCACAAAAGTATTTGCACTTACGTAAGATTTAATAAAAAAACAATTACAATTATATGTCTTGTCATGCTAATTTTCTTATCAATTATGTACAATTTTACTTCTCTTACAATTAGAATAAAATACTCTTTTGTAATAAAATTTATATATCAATTTAAATGTTTTTAATTATCGTAAAATATGTTTTTGTGTATAAAAATTTGGAAATATTGTATTAACAGAAAATATTTATTTTAAATTTCCAACAATGGTACGATTATTGTATATATGGCTCATATTGTATATATTTAAAACAGTTAATAAAATACATTTGATTATATATGAATTCGAAATAAAAAAAAAATATATAAACTTGTAAACTATATCATCAATATCATGTATATCATAACATATGACACATTATAAATAAAGAATATTTATAAATAATAAATAAGGTACATTCAAATTTTTTTTTACAATTTGAAATGTATAAAAGGAATGGAAATCTTTGCTTTTTAAATGCAAATTAGAGTTCATGATCTTTATACCTTTTTGTCAAAGCAATCATTTTTATTCAAGATTTTCTTATTTTTTTGTTATAGCCGATATAGATTTGGCAGATTGGGGCAGAAAAGAGATAACCTTAGCTGAAAATGAAATGCCTGGTCTTATGGCAATAAGAAAAAAATATGGTCCATCTAAAATATTAAAGGGAGCTCGCATTGCGGGTTGCCTTCATATGACTGTACAAACTGCTGTTCTTATTGAAACTTTAGTAGAACTTGGAGCAAAGGTGAAATTTAAATAATAATAGTAATTAATACTAATAATTATAATCCTTGAACATACAATTTGTAATTTATTTCTTAAATATTTATTTTTGCAATCAACAATTGTACTGTAAAATAATGTTTCTTAACAAATCTTTTGCAAGATCTGATTATATGCTAGAAAAATATTTTTTGTGAATGTATTACGTATGGCTTCTTATCATATTTACTGACTTGAACTTTGATCCTTTACTAGAATCATAATATTATAACAAATATATCTGTAGAATATTATAATATTTAATATATATATTCTAGTAGATATTATATTTAAAGAGAACTTTTGTCGCAATTAAGGTACAATGGTCATCGTGTAATATCTTTAGTACACAAGATCATGCAGCTGCTGCTATTGCAAAAGTTGGAGTACCTGTTTATGCATGGAAGGGTGAAACAGAGGAAGAGTATTTATGGTGTATAGAACAGACCTTAGTGTTTGAAGATGATAAACCTTTAAATCTAATCCTCGACGATGGTGGTGATCTTACAAATCTTGTACATACTAAGTTTCCACAGTACTTAAAAGATTGTCGAGGAATATCAGAAGAAACTACAACCGGAGTACATAATCTTTATCGTATGATGAAAGAAGGAACTCTCAAAGTGCCTGCAATCAATGTTAATGATTCAGTTACAAAGGTTTGTTTTATATATATTTAATCTGTAATTAAAATATGTACTAGCATTGCAATAATGTATTATAAGTATAAAAATTAATTTGGTGCCATAAATAAAGACTAAATTTGTTTTTAAAAGGTACAGAATTAATTTCTATGCTTATACAATACATTATATTATTATGCATTTCTTATCTTTTTAATTATTTTTTTTTAACTCATTGCATACGATAATCTGCATGCCCAATACGCTTTCACAGTCCACACATTTTGGAGCTTTATAAAATAACTTTGTTAATAATGCATATATGCAATTTTTAAATTCACATTTATAAATTTCTAAATATTATTATAAGAATTCATTGGTTCTTTTAATCAAACTAATTTGAATCTATCGAGTCATTGGTACTATGTGCATATAAGAAAACATCGAAACAAGAAATCTAGTAACCCAGCTTCAACGCTTGGTTTACTATGTGCGAGAATTCTCATGACGCGTACGCGATAAGTTAATTTATATAACTATTAAAAATTTCAGAAATAACATATGAGAATATATTGTTGTTTGTTTTAGAGCAAATTTGATAATTTATATGGATGTAGAGAATCTTTGATTGATGGTATCAAAAGAGCAACTGATATCATGATCGCTGGAAAAGTATGTGTGGTAGCAGGATATGGGGATGTTGGTAAAGGATGTGCACAAAGTCTTAGGGCCTTAGGTGGTCGTGTTATTATTACAGAAATAGATCCTATAAATGCATTACAAGCAGCTATGGAAGGATATCAAGTAAATGTCAAAGATATTAATTAATTAAAATTTTCAATATTTCGTTTTTTAAATTCTAAAATTTTATTATAAATAATTGCATTATTTTTATCAGGTAACTACAATGGAAGAAGCATCTAAGATAGGTCAGATTTATGTTACAACCACAGGATGTAAAGACATTATTTTAGGCGAACACTTTTTAAATATGCCAAATGATGCTATTGTTTGTAATATTGGACACTTCGATTGCGAAATAGATGTTGCATGGTTAGAAAAGAATGCAGTAAAAAAAATTAATATCAAGCCTCAAGTGGATAGATATACTTTGAAAAATGATAGGTAAATGATCAGTTGAATATTAAATACAATAGGGCTGTTTAATTTCTTACATGCATAAAGCTAGAGCTGGGTAAAATATTTTATTTACTGAAATTTCATTTCTTTTATTTGAAATATTTATTTTATTTCAATTGTGAGGAATCTATTATTTAAAATAGAAATTATTCAAATATTACCCAGCTCTCTCTGCATGAAGCCACATATTCTAGTATTTTCCATTATATGCACGAACAATGAAGATACAATAAGGATAAAAACAATATGTGGTTTTTAGTTAAAATATTCTTGAAATATAATATTTAACAATATACTTAACTATTAAAAATATTAAAATTTTAGACACATCATTTTACTAGCAGAGGGCCGTTTAGTTAATTTGGGATGTGCGACAGGACATTCTAGTTTTGTCATGAGTAATTCTTTTACAAATCAAGTATTAGCACAGATTGAGTTATGGAGTAAATCTGAACTCTATAATGTAGGCGTCCATATACTACCAAAGAAATTAGATGAAGAAGTTGCAGCACTACATCTTAATCACCTTGGCGTAAAATTAACCAAATTAACAGCAGAACAATCTAAATATCTTGATGTTCCCATAGAGGGTCCTTATAAGGCCGATCATTATAGATACTAGCCTTTTTGTAAACATTCTTTATGTACTTGAATAAAAATGATCAAACAAAATATTATATTATCAATTTTTCTTATATACGTGTACAGTACTGAAGAAAAGTATTGACATAGATTAAATTATTCTGCAACATCTTCTGTACATTTGTAAAAAGTACTGTAAAAGTGTATTACTTCATTTGTTCATAAAATATATAAATTAAAGTACATATATTTTAATCTATGGAGTTTTTCATTATTTTTTTTTATTTTACATCGATTTCATTTCTATGACTAACAATAATATTTTTAAACTGTAAACTTGAAATATATATTCCGCAAACAAGTTAAATAAAGAATTGTATTGTTTTTAAATTTATAAAAAATTTTATAAGAAAATTTTTGTTCTATGCAAATACTTTTGTTTGGCGCTGTAGGCATGTATCCTATATACCATATAAGTATTGAATGGTTTTTTTTTTAACATCCTGTATATGTACATTAAAAATCCAAACAAAAAAATAGACAGATAATTTGTAACATAATTCACAACATATTGAGAACAAAATAGTTATTTCATTAATACATTAATTATGTCATTTATTTTGTTAATTAATCATGGTTAACAAAAAATTTGTTTATCTTCCATATGAAATTAGTCCGCTAATAAAGGTAAGATACAAAATTTTGTACATTCAAATCTTATATAAGTTTAGTTTGCTAGATGGACGTTTTTAATTGTTGGAATTGTTTATGGATTTAATAAACATAAAAAATATCACGCTTTGGAAAGTGCACTGCGTGAAGAAGAAGAAAGAATAAAACCTATTAGAGAAGCCCAACTTGCACGTGAAAAAGCGATTCGCACTGAAAGTATAATTTTTTTGTTTTTAAAATAAAATGCATTATACAATATAATTATTGAATATATACATTTATCAAATTTTTATTTTCAGTTGAATTACAAGAATTGGAGAAGTTATTTCTTAATTCTTCTTTTGTCAAAGAAAGTAAAAAAAATCTTGTTAATGAGGAGTAAAATATAAAAAATAATAATAATAGCTGAAAAAACATCAAATATTAATAATCAATTAAATTTGTTAGTACAGTAGGAGGACCCTCTATAACGCGAGATATACGTTCTACCAGGGATACTTGCATATTCTTGCATCACCCTCGATTAGGCTTGATGTTTTTCTAGTCTTGGCTGAAGCTGCAGCTTGCTTTTTCCTCTTCTTTATATTATTCGATGCCTTCATCTATTCTTCCCTTTGCTCTTCCTTCTCGCAACTTTCGTGTTTTTACAACATAGTACTTTTAAGTGTATGTTCCATAGGTTTCTCTTGTCACTTCAGAAACTAAACTGTTTCTGAACGCGGTTCCTCCGATCGGGAGGAGGTGATCATAGCATCCGTTATCCTCCATACAACAGACTTCGCTTCTAGCCTTTTGGGTGGAAATCCTCATCCATCCAGGTTCTGCACTTGCAGTCTTTATCGGGCATCCCAGTCTCTCTGCGGATGTGACGCGTCTACGCCGAGAGCCAATCGAGAAGGGCACTGCCACTCGGGTCAGGCCAGATATCCCGAATTGGAGAAGTGTAAATGAGTAACACCACCCATCTCGTTCCGCGTAGAGAAAGGTGGGAGAAAGAAAATTAAGAAAAAGTAGTAAAAAGGAAAGCAGAAAAGGGCAAGATTTCTCTTGATGAGATGGGAATGAGAGAAAATCATGACGCATCCCTAAGGTAAGCCCAGGCACAGCCCTATTGAGATCACAGAGTGGTGCGCTACTCTCTACACGGGCTCTAATGTACATATTTTTATATGAGAATTTTCTTAACAACTTTTTAATCGCGTTGTACAGGGGCAATGACACAATTTTTAATCCACGTTATAGGCCCTACTGTATATAATTAAAAAAATAAGGTTAACAATAAACAATATTAACATTTAGCTAACCGCGCGCGCCACAGCGAACTGTATCTTTCACAACGCATTTTCTGCATTGCTAACGTAAACATGGGAGATCTCGATCGGTTCGCTAAATGTTAATATCAATAGCTATGCAGACAATTTATTCTAATAACTTGCTCCTTATGTTTAAAACACTATTTCACTGTGATAAGTAATATTTTTTACTAATATGTACATTTGCGTTATTTACATTTTAAGTAGTATAGAACTTTCTTGTAAACAACAACATCCACAGCCTGCTGGACAAACTGTTTCATTAACAAACCAGGCTGCTAAGTGTTGAGTATGTCCACCATGACCACAAAGAATGCAAAAATTGCTTGGTCCTAGAAATATTACATTAATATAAAATTGTTGAAATTTATGATATAATTTTTGTATTATTATTATAGCAATAATACACAAACCTCTAACTGAAATATGACAAATTACGCATTGAAATGTTAAACGTTTACAGTTTAAGCATTGAGGACCTCTGCAAACTTTACCACAGATTTGACATTCGCTTTGGAATTCAACACCTTTATGAATATCAATTGGCATTATGCTTACATGCTTGAGCACTTGTGCTCTTGCATCTAACAATTGCCATCTATGTAGAACTTCTGCGTATGCTTTTTTATATCCATTATAAAGTGCTGTATATTTGTCATCAAGTACTCTGTTGGGATTATGACTTGTTCGTTAATTTAAGTTTTATGACAATTTAAACAAAAATTAAATTCTTTATACTTACTTTATATTTTTAACAGAATCTCCAAATGTATCTTGTATAGTTTTCAAATCGTCTAAAGATTCAGACCATGAATTGGATCTATGTTGTTTTAAATTTGGAAAATTACACCCATCTAGTGTTGTATCCGCTAGATGAATTGTATGGTATGGGGAACCACCAGGCTAAAATGTGTTAATATACTATTTAAGTTTTACTAAAATATTTTACATCAAATTATGTTATGTTAGAATATATTTTATAATAAAAAGTAATCAGTAGTTAATAATATAATTGCCAATTATACAACATTGTAAAAAAAAGGGTCCAATATTTTAAGAATTTATAATATTTAACAAGAGGAGTAAAAAAAACGTCTAATTAATATAGGTCCTAAAATCAACCCCTTTCTCATAAATAAAGTACCTTATTTTTACCACCCTGTATATATCACTGTCTATTAAAAATACAACTCTCTGTTTGCATCTTTAATACATTGAATACATTTTGGAAATTATATACGAAATTACTACATGTGTATGTCAAATATTGACTTTTATTTCAGTTTAAAATTTCATGTGAATACTTGAAAAGATCAGTTTTTTGTGACACTTCCACTTCAATACTATTGATAAGAGGTAAGGATCCTTTATGACAAAACAATCTAAGAACCAATATATCAGAAATACATACTTAAAAACAATATTTAAAAAGAATACCCCTTACCTCTCTTTAACTACCATTATCGGAAATGTTTGCAGAAAGCCTCTACAACAAAGATAATATCTTATCAGTTAGTAGCATGTAGATCCCAATAAAAAAGAATAAAATGTTAAAATACAAATTGCTAGTAATATATTAATAATATATACAAAATAAATATCTCTTGTAATTGCATATGGTTCTTAGAATGGTTTTTGGATATGGTTTATTACACTGACAATGTTTGTAAATAATTTGCACTTGATAAATGTTCGCATTTAAGATATTATAAACATGTATACAAAAAAAATCAAAACTTTAAAAGCTTTTTTCTCAAAATGGGCTTCGCGTTAGGATGAAATATCTTACCACAATAACACCCTACTAGTATACTACTAATATACCAAAGCTCGTTAAAATCCGTGAGGGCACAACCGTAAGGTCTCCTTGTTAGATGAACATATTTTATTCTACATGTTCGACTTAGTTTTTCACGTAGAATCAGTATCATCAGTTACAGAACACCCTGTATAATTTAGTAATTTATTTATAGAATAGCATAGAAGTGTCAGATTTTATTCGAAATTCTCTCATCAATAGTGATATTATTGAAATAATTGGCAAAAAAAAAATGACAGATAAAATAATTATTACTATCATATCCATTATTTTTTTCATTAAATTTATAACTCTCTTAATATTTGTACACATACATGGTAATTGGAACTCTATCTTTAAATAATATTAAAAATGATTGCTTTTAAAAAACAATGATTACACTTACACTGACATTAACAGATTTGCTAACTATTCGTGTTTGTGTAGCATCTACATTTTCAGATCGATAGCTAAATGCACAACTCAACATACCAGCCATTTGTATGTCAGATTGATTAGCATAATACTGAATTCTGAAAAGAAAATATAAGTTAAATATACTTTTTGTTATATTACAAATATATTTTTTGTTACAATAAAACACTTACAAAGAGTGAATTAAATTTTTTCCAAACGGATGTAAAGTCCACGGAGCAAGATCATTTTCTGACGTTTGAAATAAGTTTTGTCCTATATTGGAAGAAGATTGTGATATAACAAGTGCAGCTAAACACCAAGCTTGTACCAAATCAGCTCTTTCCAATGTAGCAGCAACATTTGCATTATACTGACACATAGCAGGAATATCTGTTATATTAATACTATAACAAAGAATAAATTTGGATAAAAAATCATTGTGGTATATATATAATAATAAATATATAATGGGGCTTTGATATAGTTTAAGCACGTTAAAATGAATTTGCCTAAATGGAGACAGCGTAAATGAAGGGATTATTATACTAATCAAGTGCTTTAATAGTAAAATTATCAAAAATTCTAAAATTGAAGTTAATGCTCAATTATAATATAATAATTATTATATATTATAGTAATACACTATATTAAAAAAAAAATAATAGATGACATTTTTTGTTATACTTACATATATTTTTCTGCTAATTCTTTACTAACAAAAAATAGAGACGAAGCTTCATAAATTGTAACTAATGAACGATAATTTTTACAACATGGTCTATCATGTATCCTATTTGTACCATGTAAATTACGTCTTATGTTTTTCTATTAATACCAATTTTATTATTATTTTAATTTAAAGATAATATGTAAAAAAAGTTGCAAATAATATTAACTTACACGGTCTTGAAAATAAAAAGAACTGATCGATATACCATCATTGGATGCTACATAAGTATTTGGATACATATTCATAAAATGTTCTCCATTATTGATTCCGCTTCCTAAAGCAGATAATGCTCTAGGTGTTATACTTTCAGGTTTTACCGAAGACCTCCTTGGATATGAAGATCGACCAAAACATACAAGTATACCTGGAAACATATTAGTATTATAAATGATATTAGACAATTTTGGAATGTTTACAATATGTCTACAAACCTACACAACAAAATTTGGCACCAGATGTTCGAGGAAATGGTATATATGCATCTTGGTAACTAGAACACATATTAGAAGAATTCAAAAAGTTTGCATTATCCTGTATATAATAATCTAGATGAGTGGTCTCATTTTCATCTTTTTTGCATATCTATAATAACATAAAAAATATAAAATAATCTATCTAACGAAAATATTAAAATAAAAAATGGTACCATTATTTATTTACTTGTTCTAATGTTATAATCAATTGTCTAAGACATGGTTCTAAACAGGATCGGTTTTTTCTGACACGTTGTTGAGCAGTTTGTTTCAAAACTTTTAATAATTTTGCCATTGTCGCATTATCAATGCTTGTTCCAGGACAAAATTGGAATGTAGGTTGTGCATTGTATGGATAATTTCTAGGGAAATTTACTTTAAGTACTACATTATAATTAGTGTTACACGCTGTAACAGTACAACTTCGTTCACTTGCATCCATAGCATTTACCTAAATAGTTATTTAATATTTATATAAACAATAATAAATTTTAATATGTTTATTTGAAATTATATTACCTCTATATTTGGTATATTCATATTTATTAAAGAAAATTCTTGTTGTAATGTTTTTGGTTGAGTAGGTGATGATATATCTTTTGTATTTTCAGAAAATGTACTTAATTCTGTACTTGATGCAGAATCATCAACTTTTGTTTCTATATAATTTGTTTCCTGGTTATTTTGTGCATCATTTATTTGAAGTTGTTGAACAGATTGCAAAGAACCTGGAAAATCGTATAAATCAATTTTTGTATAACTTAACAGAATTGAATAAACATATAATTAATTCATACATACTTAATGCATTATCTTTTCCATATTGAGAAAAAACTGATGCGTTATCGTCAATGTCATGTCCACATAACTAAAACATTATCCTAATAAATTTCTTATTTTCTTTATGAATATTCAATTACCATAGCATTCTATAACTATCTTACCTTTTTTAAAAAAGGATCAATTTTAAATACCCTTAAACATTGATCCTTTGACCACGTAATTAATTCATAGTCCGTGTTTTCTATGTACAAATTAATTTAAAGAGATATTTTAAATTATTAATATTGTTTAAAATATTAGATAATACCTAATTTTTTATGTCGCCATTGGAACTCTAAAACAACATCAGTATGTCCTACAAAAGTATATATGGGAGCACTAAGATTCGATGTATTCCATAATAAGAGGCTATTCTCTCCCCGTCTTAACTGTGGCACTACAATCGTTACTAATCCTTCTCCAAAAGGCTAAAAAATCAAGATTTTAATGTATGAAATGTAGTTAATCAAATTTATTATATATTTGACGTATATTATTATAAAATATGTTTATAATCATAACTTTCTTATATTCTTAGATAAGATATTTGACACATTTAATTTTCTCATTTAACCAGTTAGCTATGATTGATAAGTATACTCGTTAAGAAGAAATGAAAATATTTTGTGTTATGACGAGTATACACGTCATATAGAAAAAGTAGTTATCATTTGCTATTTCAATTAAAATTTTAATGGAAACTAAATTATATTCGTTAATTTGAAGATGTTTAAAATATTTGGAAATTAAAACGAAATAAAATTAAAAAGAATATAAATAATTGTTATGAAAATATTGTATATAGTGTAAGGAAAGTAAAACAAACCTGGCCAATTAAACATAACGTTTCACATTTTCCAGATTATATATCAAGCACAAAGATATTTACATTGCTATAAAAATAATATTCGAAAAAAAATCAAGATATTGATGTTCGACTTGCGAGTTGCCATTATGTATTGTATTTTATTTTACTGAATATTATTCAACAACAGCAGATTCAAACTAATTATTTTTAGCAGATTCTAACTAGTATTTTTTAGCAGATTCTAACTGGTTATTTTTTTATTTTATACGCAACATTTATATTTAAATTAAGTAAATCAAAAAAAAGTAGTAAAAAAATTATTAATTTTATAAAACAACTAAAACAGTTATTTGATTACAACTTAATTCAATATTATAACAGCTGCACATACTTTGTGTGTGGTTCGTCATCGCTTTATTTTGGCGACATAATTTAAGTACACACTTTTTAAAAAGGTCGCCATAGCCAACTGGTTAAACGATATAAATTTGTTATCAAAAAATAAAATGAGATATTATCATGCTTAAGCAATACATAAACCGAAAATTATATATTCAAGCTTACTTACTGTATATCGTGCTCTCCATACAGGAGAATTTGTTGTTAAAATATTTTCTGCCTTTTTTGGATTGCCAATATCAAAAATTTTAACCGTACAATCTTGACTAGATGTTGCCAATTGAGTTTGATTAAATGGACACCAATCTAAACCATGTATCTAAAATAATATAAGATTTTATAAATTGCAGAAGAAATAAATAAAGTAGAAAAACTAAGTATAACAACCTTTGTTAAATGAGCTGCTATGTATTGAACAGGACTGTTTCCTTTACGTTGATCCCATATTTTAATATCTCCATCATGAGTAGTAGCCAATGTATGAGATGATAAGCCATTCCAACGTACTTGTGAAGATCCAGCTATGTTTAAAATGTTAATTAACTATAAAAGTCATATTTCATTCTGAAAGCATATAAGATGATAAAATAAGGGTCCAATATTTTAAAAGCTTATAGTAATTATCGGGAGGAGTAAAAAATATCGAATTAACATGGGTTCTAAGATTAACCCATTTGATGCAGATAAACTTTTATTATTTATAAGCGTTTGATATTGTCAGCGAGTCTTTTGGTGATATATTGACTGTACATAGAGCAATTTGTTTAAAACTGCATTAGTTCAATATTGCCAGTTAGTAAAGTATTATAAACTCTTAAAATATCGGGTCCTTTTTTTTACTACCCTGTATAGCTGTCCTACAATATGCCCTTTAAAAAACGTTCCTTATTGCACAAGAATTAATAAAAAATTGTGATCTTCGAGTGAATTTAAAACCAAATATGTTTTTATATCACAAATGAGTTTTTTCATAGCTATTTTTTAATTGCATTATACAGAGACAGTATTTATTAAACGCAATAATTTAGTTCATATCAAACAGTGTTCTATTATATTATTTATTTTTCTTTGCTTACCAACTGCTGATAAAGATAAACAAGGTCTGCGTTGATCTCTTATATCCCAAATATGTATAAAAGTATCAATACTACAAGAAGCTATGATGTCAGGTTCCTTAGGATGCCAATTTATATCATTAACAACACGGGTGTGTGCCTTAAGACTATAAATAGTTTGCAATTCATATCCACCATTTGTTGAAAGGTTTAATATTTCTATACGGGTATTACTCTAAAAGAAACAGATATTATTTTAGGAAAATAAATGTAATTAATTGAGTAATAATAAACTTATCAAATATTACTTCTTACTGATATTGCACATAAGTGACAATTTAGCGATGTGGGATTCCATTCTGCAGAACCTACTTCATATTTGCTTTGTCGTTGAAATTTTTTTAATGTCTCTTTGCATTCATCCAGTTGTTTTATGGCAAAATATCTACGACTACGGGACATAGAAATTTGTAAATAAAAATTCATATATATTAATAAATTAATATATATTAACAAATTTATTATACCCAGCTAGTAAAACATAATTGCCAGTTGCATCTATGGCCATAGTATTAGCCTGAAATCAATAATAAATATAGGAACTCATAATGTCTTTTATTAGTTCATTGTATATATATTAAAAATAAATTGTGTAACGTTTTACATACCTGTAAGTCACGGTGTTCCGTAACCACATAATCATTGCTCCAACGTTTTGACATTTTATAAATGAATACAAATACTTGTCAACATTCTGTAATAAGGTTAGAAAAATTACAAATACGTCAGATCGTACGTATAAGCAGCAAGAAATCTTATTTTCCACTGATCTCCATATATATATATATAGCTATGTATTCAAATCATTAAAATAATTATCTTAAGTCGGTGAAGACCAAGTCTCAATAAAAGAATTCATTTTTTGTTTATTGCGTAAAATTCTAATGTAAGTATAAATACACTTAAAGAGAATTACGGTGAATACATATATAAAGATACAATTTTGAAATGCAAACAAGTAAAATTTGTTTATTTTTAATTCCTTGAAGAGGCATAAACAACTCGTTTATCACAAGCCGGTAGGTGTCCCCACCATTGTCATCATATTCAAAGCTGTTTTACAAGGTAGTATTTGATTGGCTTATGCTCTCTATACTAAACTAGACTCACGGCTTTTTCATTCGCAATCACACACGTATAGTAATTTGTACTTCATTAAAATAAATCACGTTACCACGAGTTCCCATCTCTTAATTCAATAATTTGGCCTTTATCAAACCGGCGCGTACTGTCAAATTCCGAAAATGCAGGCTGACTATGAAGATGTAGTTTAATTTTTTTGAAAATTAGTAATTGAGGGTTTTAAGAATCGCTGATTATGAATCTGATATTGTTCAGAAAAACCAAATAGTAGAAAGAAAATGGTCGCAGTTTTAATTAAAAATTGATTCAGTCTTTCTCAATATTAGTATATTGGAATTTTTGAGGTCGCTATTTATGAATCTGATATTATTTTTTTGGAAAACAAAATAATAGACTCAAAATCAAAGACAATTTGGACAAAAAAAAACATAAAACCAAAGTTTAAATTGTTACAAATTTTAATATTTAATAATATATTTTTTCTTTTTCACAATTATCTACTTAAAAGCTTATATTATAAAGTGTAAGGTCTTTATAAGTACGGTCGTGCATGTACAAAATCTTGGATACAAACTGAAAAAGCTGCTAGGAGCTGCTAATTTTTGGGTCATTTATTAAGCAAAAGTTTATTAAACAATATAAAGCTAATTAGAGCAAAGGACATTTGACTTATAGCTCTTTAAGATAGATATTTATAATACCGCATCAGTGAAAAACACTTTGCAATATATTTTTCATTAGCAACTAAATTTGTTATTTATGCAAATTTTTAAAAATATAATTTAATCGTATTTACTTTCAGACAAAGATTCCATATTTATATATTGAATTTGGACAAATATTAACTAACTGCACTATACGCTTTTAAAGAAACCCTAATTTTGTTTATAGACCCTAATTGTGAGTCACAAATGCGATGCGTTCGACGCCCACGTTTAAATTGATTATTTTTTAAGTTTGCTATTTTATACACAAAAATTCATCAATTGGCTTTATTTTATAAATAATATTTTGGATCCAGGATAAGTAGTTGGAAATGCGTATATGAAGAGAATACGAATGACTATCACAAGTGTAGTACCTACTATTACTTTTGCACTCTAATTCCAGAACTGATAATACTTTTTAAAAACTATAGTTCTCCAGCTTGAAATAAAATTCCTCCTATACTATCACCATCACAGACAGATGTTCCTAAAATGAAAGTATTAATCGGTTCATATCACTTATGAACATGTTACATTTCACATATTGATTTTTATTTGTTACCAACCACTTGTGTAAACCGCACAAAATTTGTCACTCGTTATTAGCTGCTCATATAAGTTGTGCGTGCGCGTGCATGTGTACATGTCCCGATAATGTATTCTTCTCAAACTCGCTTAAATAGCATTTGGTATTCTATTGAATACCTAAGTATTATGTATAATGCCTAGGAAAAGTCCGTAACAATTCATCTGTTTCCTATATTGCCTAAAAACGCTTGGCATGTGGGCAATGCCTAGAAAAAGCTTACAACGTCAGCTATTTCATCATTATGTTGTTCGCGCATTGGGACTTTACCTAAGAAATACTATTTTAGATTATTTTTTTGAAAGTTTAARAAGTAATTTAAAACGAATTTGACATATCAACCAAAAATTATATTTATAATTATATAAAAATAATATTTATAAACCTATAGACTTATGTAAGATAATCCTTGTTACAACAAAAAGGAAAAACCAATCTTATGTAAACTTATAAAATGTCTTTGAGTTTGAAAAAGAATAATAGATAGTTACCAGAAGATCTCAATAAAATATAGAACTTATCTAACGATAATATAATTGTTTGCGTGCTCGTCTATGACCTGTGAACTCTGTTTACATTTCCAGGAAAAAAGAAAATAGAAAAATTGATAAACCGGAACAGTCAGTGCTAAATATAAAAAAACTGCTTTTAGAATTTATATCGATCGAACGAATGATCAAATAATGAAATAATTGCTTTTATTGTGTAGTCATATTAACATTTACCACTCTTTCAAGACAACTAAGTCTTTGTTTAGTGCCTTTCCAACTGAATAAAGGTAATAGAAAATGAAATAAAAAACATTGTTTCGTAGAAAAAAACTGCAACGTAATACAAGGAATAGAATAATCAACTGGGGTTCTATTTGGTTTGTATATGAAATTATTGCGATAAATCAAATAGCAATAAATTGTTACATAGCAAGAAAATGTATAAATATTCCTGCTTATAATGTCAGTGAGACTTACATTTTAATTATTACTATAGGGAAAATTACTCCAATTCTTTTTATTACGCAGTATGTCAATATTCTATCCATTTAGAAATACAGTGAAATATATTGATTAAATAGATCACAATTATTTAACATATCTGTTAACTGAAAGTTTTGTTATTGGATATTTGAGTTATCTGTTATCTTATGTTTGTTAAAAAAGTTTCCTTAAAATTCCTCTYCTTTGTCTAAGCTTGGGACCAGCTAGGAATTAACTAAGCGGAATCACGGAGTCAACAGCACACAGCGTTCCTAAGTGGTCACCCCCATCCAAGTATTAACTGCGTCCATCGCTGCTTGACTTTAGTTATCGAACGAATTCTGGTACTCTCAGCGCGGTGTGATGAAACAATATTCATACATATACTGAATGCACATGTAGAGCAACTCGAAGCATCAGTACGAAACGAAACATAAAGCAGAAGGACACTTCTAATACACACGTTTCTCGGAGGAAACGGTTTCATGATAATTTTCAGTCGAAACGTCTAAAAGTTCTTACACAATAATTAAAGTAAGCGAGTTTGAAGAGAATCGTAAGGTACGCAGCATTGTATAAAAACAACAATTTTGTTACGATAGTGAGTAATATTGATTTTTATCTTGACGAATATTTCTAAGAAAAATAGAAACAACGTATATTATTATAGTTTTAAAAACGTATATATATATATTAGTTATACAAAGTAAATTACAATTTCATATTATACTCTAACAATATTTACCAATTACGAATAAATTCTCTAAAACTGTATTTGAATTTTTATTTTTTTTTAAGGACAACGTATATAAAAAATACCTATACAATAGATATAAATTTGACTCGAAATGGTTTAGACGAGGTCAAAGTGAGATCTGCAGAAAATATAACGTCATCTAATTCATCCACAGGTTCCAATTCAAAATTGTGCAATATAAATGCTACAAACATTTTAAGCTCTAGCATTGCGAATCTTTGACCTGCAAAATGAGAAACAGACGAATAAAAAAAGCAATTTTAGAGCAATTTAAGATTTTTACTTCTGTATGAAATATTTACCAATACAGTTTCTCGGTCCCGCACTAAATGGAATATAGGAGTAGGGATGTCGCCCTTTCATATTTTCCGGTAAAAATCTGTCCGGATCGAAAACATTTGGATTTGGCCAAAATTTTGGATTTCTGTGCACGTAGTAAATATTTACATCACAGATAGTACCAGATGGAATTAAATAATGTTCTACAAAATTAATATGATTTCACAGTGAACAAATTAAAGAATCAATAGTACACAGGTAATATTAAAGTATATATATATATATATATATATATATATANAAATGCTACAAATAGTTTAAGCTCAATCATTGCAAATCTTTGACCTGCAAAATAAAGAACAGACGTATAAATAAAAACAATTTTAGGAAAATTTTAGATTTTCACTTTTGCAAGAAATATTTACCAATGCAGTTTCTTGGCCCCGCACTAAATGGAATGTAGGAATAGGGATGACGTCCTTTTATATTCTCCGGTAAAAATCTGTCCGGATCAAAAACATTTGGATTTGGCCAATATTCTGGACGTCTGTGCAGGCTGTAAATATTCACCCCACAGATAGTACCAGATGGAATTAAATAATGTTCTACAAAATTAATACGATTATATAATGAATAAAATAAAGAATCAATAGGATACGAAAGAAATTAAAGTAAACACATAAATGCATATATTTTCATACTTAGCTGCATATCGTGAGTAATTTGACGAGATATTAGATGGACGCTTGGATACAAACGAAGGGATTCTTTTAAACATCTCTCCAAATACGAAAGTTTTTGAAGAGACGATATCGTGAAATTATTATCTTCTTGCATAACCGATTTAACTTCCTCCCTTATATTTTCCTAGAAATAAATACATCACTGATTTTTCATTGTATACGCTGTGAAAATCGCTAAACATAAGTTACATAGTTTTGATAATTTTCGCTTGAATTCTAGCAATAATGAAATTTTTTATTTGGAGTAAATATTATTATTAATTTTTGTATTAGCAACAAGTAACTAAAATTAGCGAAACAATTCAATGTATAGTTCTTCGAAAATATGTAAAAAGTAAAATATTGTTTCTTTTAATAATCATTTAAGCTGATAATTCTGTCTAGTATTATTACCTGGACATCTTTGTGCTTAGCAAAAAGACTCAAAGCAAAAGTCAGTGCACTTGCAGTAGTATCGTGGCCCTGGAAAATTTTATTTCATCAAATATTTTTCTACCTTTGTCTTCTAAGTTTATACATTTACGAGAACCTACTTCAAACATAAAAGTATCAACTTCTTCACGAATTCCTTCCTCATCTATTTGATTATCTTTCCAAGACGCGACTATAAGCAGATCTAACAAAGAAAGTTTTCTCTTGTACGGCATATCTGTAACATAAAAACTTTATTGACCTTGTTTTTTTAATTTAATTTAATTTTTATTTAAAAAATGCGAATATTTTCATCGTTCTTTTCCTGACCCTTATCAAAAACGTCATCCTCCTCAATATTCTTATAGATTTGCAAATATTTCCTATTAGTTAGTTTGTGAAAACGTTTCCTTTCCGCAATAATCTAGAATAAATAAAACACTTTTTGAATTTAGATACATTCGATAAACGTAGATTTAATTAATTAGTATGAAAGACGTACATTTCTCGAAAAACTGTGCAACGTTTTCAACGCTTCTTTTTGTAGTCTACCATGTGATGTCAATGCAAATATTGTATCGAAATAGTACCAAGGTCTCATAATTCTAATAAACAATAAATCACATTCTTTGTTCGATCAACTTCGTTTCTTAACAAAAGATTATTGAATTACCTGTACACCATAATTTTGCCATAAGCATGGACCGCATTACGATATTTCAATTCCACCTCGCTTTTTCCTGTCAATTTTGTACCGAAAGCTGTTACTACAAAAGAAATTTGTCAATTGAAATCATTACTAATATTATTAATTACATATATAAAGAAAGTTGTTTTTTTTTTCACTAACGGCATATTGCGTTGAGAGTATACTGGCTGATAAATGTTCGTAAATCTTTGACAATAAGATTTCCATCTGCCTCCTTTTTAAGAGATTCGACAAGATTTTGTGACTCCTCATGTAAATTAGTAAAGTAATGTGTAAGGATATTGAAGTGAAATGCAGGAGTTAACATTTTTCGTCGTAAGTGCCATTTTTCACCTGTCAAAAATTACGTTATATATTTAAAATATTATTAGCATGTGTCAAATACGCACAGAAATATCTAACAACACTTTGTTCCCAAAAGGACAAAAATGGAAACGTCTGTGGCGCAAATTGTAACAATAGCCACCCAACAAATTATAAAAGATCTCTTAGGACAGGTTTTTTATTATTTAGTATTTCTTATTTTAGATATATAATAAAAAAATTATTTTTGTTCATTTTAATTGCTTACCACCGCTAGTTAATAATCCATTAGAAAGCCAGAGCTTAAGATATTTGTAGAAAGCAGCTTTCTCAATATTTTCATTGCTCTTTAATAGTTCCTACCATGAGAATTCATATTTTTTAACTTATATGAATTGATTATTTTCGATTTACGGTTTAATTCTTTAAAACAAGACATTTTATTTTTATAATTATCCAAGTTTATTTGTATGATTATCTGAGAATTTTTATTACATAAAATGAGTTTGCGAAAATTAAAAATAGACTTTTAAAAATGTAACTGTAAAAAGATACATTGGAAATCCCGTCATGCATTTGTAAAAAAATGTTAAATGTTCGTGCTGTTTTAAAGAATATTCGACTATGTATTTTTTGTAATGAATTAAATATCATACATTTAGCTTTTCTATACTCTAAACAGTAAAATAAATTTAAAAAAAAATAAAGCAAAATAAAAAATAATTTATTTTGTTTTTTATCTTATAATAAAACTTACCTGAATATCATCAGGATCGAGTAAAACTACTGCCGAAAAAAAGAAGCACCAAATCTTGAAAATTGGATAATATTTATTACTTATTCTCGCGAATTTCTCAACTATTTCTTCTATAGTATTGGTAATAAGATATTAATTAGTGAAAACTTTATCGACTGGGAAAAATCAAAGTTTTTTTTTTATATAATTCCTAAATAAAAATATTTTAATATTTCTTACACACACACACCATTTCTAATTTGAAAGTGATACAAATTCCCAATTATTGGATATTCGTGAAGTCCTGGAATAATACTTAAAAGTCTTCCTATTCTTCTATATCTTATAACACAATGTAATGCAAATAGAAATAAAATTGTACTTAACAAGATTGCGAGCATCATTTTATCTGGAACATAGAAGAAATTAAAAAATAAACTATGAATGTTGTAAAAGCTGTTCTACGTATTAATTATTATTTTCAAACTATACATTTTTCTAAAGACTTACGCGTGCTTGTTAATGATCAATTCCTTTACGGAATAAATAGTCGTATTATTCGTTTCTTTTTTATTAATTTTAAACACACACATACATACGAACGATCAATAATATTAAAATGTCAAGAAAATATGTTTAACAATATTTACAAGATTTGTTTTTACTGTGATTTATATAAAATATAATTACACATTATAAATTTACATAGTGAGGAAAATTAATAAAAAGTATTTACATATGTGCCGGGTAATTACATATTTTAAAGTACATGTCGATAAAAATTCAAATGTGAGTCATACATGTGGTATATAGAGACTACTTGTATTTTCTTGATGGTAAGATTTTTTGCTTTTGTTTTTTATTTAGTTTGCATAAAGAGATATTTAATTTGTAAGAAAGAAGAACGTATATATTATTCCGTTTTTTGTTTTACTTGACTACTCAGAAAAAACTTATCCATAATTATGAAGTGTTACGTCCATCAAGGTTCAATAATATTTGATGGTAATCTTATGTAATTCAGGCTACATTTTTTATGTTGAAATTGGACAAAAATTACCTACACTATGCGCGTTTTAATAGACCGTAATTTTTGGGTCGCATCGAATCGCAAATGCGTTTATACTGTTAATTTACTGGTGTACATAATTATATATCTATAAAAAACCGATGATAAAGACTTTAAAGGGTTCACCATAGATATTTCCATGGTTAAAACTGTAAAGAAAAACTTGATCTTTTTACTTTTTCCACGTTTTCAGGATTTGGGACCAACATGCATCGCCTAAAAAGTTTTACATAAAAAAAAAAGGAAGGAACTAATAATGATTATTAATAGGATAACACAAAGACGAATTAAAGAAACAAAAAGAAAAACGAAGGTATCGAAAATTGACTGAGATATCTTTTTCTCACTTCGTATTAAAATAAACATATTGCGAGAAAGAGGAAAACGTACGAAAAAATAAATAAATTTGATACTTACGAGCACTCGTTTTATTGCACAATAGCAATAAAAATTGCAATAATAATAATATTTTTGTTGTGAGGAAGGTGCACAATGAAATATACGTCGATGCGTCCTGTAATTTTGTTCAATCACCCGATAACTTTGAGTAAGAGAGAAAGATAAATGAAACAATTGAGATGAAGTAACTTAGAAGAAAATTATTCGAAAAATAGTTGTGTTTGTTGATCTTAACGCGTAACAAATTGAACTTGGAACAGATGACGACCTATATTTATATAATTAAACCAAACCGGTTTCCCTCTTTTATTTGCATTTTTTTTATGTTTTTGGCGAAGGAGAGATGGATTGTTTCTTTCTAAGAGAGGGAAATATATGGAGAGGTGAAGAAAAATAGAAAGATTGAAAAAGAATATTAAAGAGTGAGTGATGTTGTACGGTAGAAGAGTGAAGGAAGGAAACATCTTTGCTTAACAATTACTAATGAATTGATGAACGAATATCTCTACTACTGTATCATCCATCTTTCATTTGGTCTTTAAGTTTTGAAGTTATACTTCTTTTAGTGCGTTTGGGAAAAAATGATGAGAATGAACGTTTACGATCCGTGCGCACCCCGCACTTTTCCATTATATATTCTCCATAAAATGAATATAATTAATTTCAATAAAATTCAATTTCATTAAAATTTTGTCTTATATGGTAAAGGGTATAATACGTATAAAAATATCTATGTAATTGGTATAAATTTGATTCGAAGTGGTTTAGACGGAGCCAAAGTAGGTTCTGCCGAAAATGTAACGTCATCTAGCTCATCAACTGGTTCCAATTCAAAATTATACAATATAAAAGACACCATGAGTTTAAGCTCGTTCATTGCCAATTTTTGACCTGCGAAATAAAAAATACAAGAATAAAAAAATTGTATAGTTTATGTTCTCATTTCTATATGAAACATTTACCAATACAGTTTCTCGGCCCCGCACTAAATGGTATGTAGGAGTAGGGATGTTGACCTTTGATATTTTCCGGTAAAAATCTATCCGGATCAAAAATATTTGGATTTGGCCAATATTCTTGATTTCTGTGCACGCTATATATGTTCACTCCAAATRTTGTACCAGATGGAATTAAATAATGTTCTACAAAATAAATGCAATTATATAGAAAATAAAATAAACAATCAATAGTATAACTGTGATATGAAAGTATACGTTTATATGAATATATATTTCATACTTAGCTGCAAATCATGAGAAATTTGCCGAGAAATGAAATGAGCGCTTGGATACAAACGAAGCGTTTCTTTTAAACATCTCTCCAAATACGAATGTTTTGGAAACGACGATATCGTCAAATTATTATCTTCTTCCATAATCGATTTAACCTCGTCTCTTATATTTTTCTAAAAATAAATACGTCATTTATTATTCATTGTATGAACTGTGTAAATCGCTAAACCTAAAAACATTGTAAATTTTAATAAATTTTGATCGAATTCGAGTACCGATAAAACTTTTTATTTAAAGTTAATATCATTATTCATTAGTATTAAAAACAAATTACTAAAATTAGCGAAACAATTCAACGATTAATTTTTTAATAATGTATTAAAAGTAAAATATTGTTTTTTTTTTTAATCACACATGTCAGCTGTTTGCTTAAGCAAGTAACATTACCTGCACATCTTTGTGCTTAGCAAAAAGACTCAAACCAAAAGTCAGTGCACTTGCAATAGTGTCGTGACCCTAAAAAAATTTATTTCATCAAATATTTTTCTACTTTTGTCTTCTAAATTTATACGTTCACAAGAACATACTCCAAACATGAAGGTATCAACTTCTTCACGAATTCCTTCCTCATCTATTTGATTATCTCTCCAAGATGCGGCTATAAGCAGATCTAACATAGAAAGTCTTTTCTTGGACTGCGAATCTGTAATATAAAAATTCTATTGACCTTGTTTCTTCAAATAACTTTATTTTTATTTAAAAAATTTCAATACACTCATCGTCCTTCTCCGGATCCTTATTAAAAACGTCATCCTCCTTAATATTCTCATAGATTTTCAAATATTTCCCATTAGTTTGTTTGTGAAAACGTTTCCTTTCCGCTATTATCTGGAATAAATATAATATAATATTATTTTTCGAAAAACGTAGATATAAATGATTATTACGAAAGACGTACACTTCTCGAAAAATTGTGCAACATTTTCAACGCTTCTTTTTGTACTCTACCAAGTGGTGTAAATGCAAATATTGTTTCGGAGAAGTACCAAGGTCTAAAGAGTCTAATAAAAAATAAATCACATTTTTGTACTAGTGATTTTATTTTTTAACAAAAAATTAATAAAATACCTTTGTGCAACAATTTGGCCATAAACATGAACGGCATTACGATATTCAGATTCCAGCTCACTTTTTTCTGTCAACTTGGTACCCAATGCTGTTTCTACACAAAAGACTCGGAAATAACATAAATTGATAATATTAATTACATATGCAAAAAATTGTTTTTTTAACTAACGGCATATTGCGTTGAGGGTGTACTTGCTGATAAATGTTCGTAAATCTTTGACGACAGGGCCTCCATCTCCTTCCTTTTTAAGAGATTCGACAAGATTTTGTGACTCCTCATGTAAATTAATAAAGTAATGTGTAAGGATATTGAAGTGAAATGCAGGAGTTAACATTTTCCGTCGTATGTGCCATTTTTTACCTGTCAAATTAGGGTATATTTAAAATGTTATTAAATATATTGTGAGGCTTCAGATCCAATCGCTTTTCATTTACTTGTTATTGTGAGGGTTTATAGGATAATATTCTTCCGTGGTGTTTATATGTTTATTTATATGATATGAAAGCATCAGGTAATATCTCAAGTTTTCACCTATAATAATCACTTACTAGAACAAACCTATTCTATATAAAGAATCACCAACTCTGTGCAATGAAAGTACAAATTGGATGATCTTTAAACAAATCTTACAATCAAAATTGAACTGTAATATTCAGCTCAAGACCTCTTTTCAAATATAAAAAGTATTAATAATTTAACAAATACTATACAAAAATCAAAGTGGGCGTCTAAATATCCAAATGTTTTATCCAGATAATCCTGTCATATCCTAGCAATATTTTGCATAAAATATTATTAAAAAGACAAGCTAAATCTAGGTAGCAGAAAAATAAAACAAGTAGCAAAAAAAGACTACTAAATAATACCATACGGGACCACAAGAATGCAGAAATCGAAAGATACCTGTCATCACTTTCACCTCACGAAGTTACTAATTACTCCCTCTGGAAAACAACAAAAAGATTTAAGAGACAAATAAAATCAATACCAGCCTTAGGAATTTTTGAAGGCTCATAGGTGAATAGCACAGAAAATCAAGCGGAAACTTTCACAACAAACCTAGAAAACATACTCACAGCACGCAACTTAAATACTCAAAAATACACAGACACTAACGTAAACGACTTTGGAAGCAAAACACAATCTCATGAAAACATTAATAGCACAACAGTTGAAAAAAATGGAATACTAATATCACAAATCAAAATAAGAAAGGCACTAGGTTAGGATTTAATAAATGGTGAGATACTAAAAGAACTTCCACCTAAAGCAATTAGGATGCTTACAATATTATTTAACGCAATATTCCGATTCTATCACTTTTCAAGTACTTGGAAACTCGCGAAAATCATAATGCTCCCTAAACCTAATAAAGATCCGCATGATGTGAACTCGTATAGACCAATTTCGCTACTACCACTACTATCTAAACTATTAGAAAAAATAATATTTATTAGAATGAAAAAAATTATTTCTGCCGAAAACCTGATTCCTGACCATCGATTTGGATTTCGAAACAAACACTCTACCGTTGAACAAACTAACTAATACGATAATCACAGCTTTAGAAAATCAAGAGTACTGTTCTGCTATCTTAATAAATGTAGAAAAAGCTTTCGATAAAGTGTAGCATCACGGATTATTACAAACAATCAATTAAAAACTTTCCACATTCATATTACAAACTCCTAAAATCTTTCCTTTACGACAGAACATTCTACGTAAAAATAAAAAAAGTTCATTGGAACATGAAATTAATCAAAACTAGGGTTCCGTAGGGAAGTATCCTTAGACCAATTCTCTGCACACTCCATACGGCAGACATACCAGTAAACTAAAACTGCATAATCTTAACATTTATTGATGACGCAGCAATGTTTACAATAAACAAGGACTTGCAACAAGCAATTTAATTATTACAAAAACAAATCAACTTTCTTGAAGATTGGTTATCTAATAGAAAGTTCAAAATAAACTCTATAAAGTGAAAACATATCACGTTTACACTGAAGAAAAACCAAATATCGAAACAACAACTATACAATACAGAAATTGCACAAGTTACGACGGTCAAGTATTTGGGGCTACAGCCAGATTTTAAAATAACATGGAAAAAGCATATAAATGCCGAAATTTAACAAATTCGTTTAAATAGGAGACAAATGGCTTAGATAAATGGTAAAATATCTAAACTCAGCATAATGAATAAACTGATAATCTACAAAACAATAATAAAAGCAATCTTGACCTATGTAATACCGCTATGGGGTATAGCAGCAAAAAATCACATTGCCAAGCTCAAGGCTCAACAATCGATAACCTTATTGCACAATCGTAAATGCTTCCTGGAACATCCGTAACGAAGAGATAAGAGTGGACTTAAATATTTCCACGATAGATGAAGAAATAACCAAGACAACTTGCATATATGAAAGAAAAATTGATACGCGCATAAATTCGTTAGATACAACGATAACTACAACCAATATATCTTTAGAAGACTCAAAGGAATGTTCTATATATAATAAAATGATTATTTTTGTTCATTTAAATTGCTTACCGCCGCTTATTAGTAATCCAGAAGAAAGCCAGGGCCTAAGATATGTGTAAAAGACTCCTTTTTCCATATATTTCTTGCTCTTCAGTAATTCCTACGATAAAAATTTATAATTTTTAACGCACGTAAATTGATTTTTCGATTTACGCCTAACTTTATACTTTGTGATACATAAAATATATTAGGGAAAATGAAAAATAAATTTTTAAAAAACGTAATTGTAAAAAGGTACATAAGTAATCCTGCCATGCTTTGTTAAAGTAATATTTAATTTTCGTAAAAGAATATTCGACTATGTATTATTTGTAATGAATAAAATGTCACACATTTAACTTCTCTATACTCTTCAAACAGTTAAAATAAAGTAACAAATAATTTATTTTGATTTTATTTTATAATAAACTTTACCTGAATATCATCTGGATCGAGTAAAAATACTGTAGAAAAAAAGAAGCCCCATATTTTGAATATTGGGTAATGTTCATTACTTAATCTCCACAGTTGCTGAAGTAAATGTTCTATATTATTGGTAATAAATTAATGTTAAGTGTGAACTGTATAAACTGAAGAAAATCACAGTTTTCTTAATTATAATAATTATTTTTTATTCCTTATTATAATTTCCTAAGTATAATTCCTAAGTAACAATATTTTAATATTCTTTACACACACCATTTTTAATTTGAAAATGATGCATACTTCCAATTATTGGATATTCCTGAGGTCCTGRAATAAGACTTAAAAGTCTTCCCACTCTTCTATATCTTATAACACAATGTAATGCAAATAGAAATAAAATTGAACCCAACAAGATAGCGAGCATGATTAAATCTGGAAAATAGGCAAAATTAGAAAAATTATTTACAAATGCAGCAAGAGAGAAATGTTACCTACTATTATTATAGGTAAAATGTTATTACTATTTCTAATTTTTTGCAGTCTCTGACTGCATCTCAAACTTTATGCGAAGTTATCTAAAAGAACTAGGGGCCGATAGCGAAAAAAACCACGTCGATATCTTCCTCTGAAAGGGATACCTTTGCCTTTCCACCGATAGCCGTCTGTGAGCTTGAGTTATCAGATAGAAATAGTATAAGTCTCTAATTTATCTTAAAGACTTTACCGATATCTGTCTTTGAACTCGGGTTTTTAATTAGAAATAGTCTTAATTACTTAAATATATACTGAGACAGGAATTTTTTTTTTTTTTTCAAGAATAAAAGAGTTTTTTCCTTCACCTGGTGTGGCCTGGGTCAAGTGGTTGTCAGAGCTCAAGGTTTAGTCATTAATAAAATTTGTTAATTTAAATCAGAAATGAATAGTTTGGCATCAGTTAGGTTTTCCCTAACAGAATATATGAGCCGTTCATTTCTAAAATGGCTTAAATCTATTTATGTTTATAATCGAAATGTTTAAGGGTTTGCATTGGATTCAATTTAAATGTATAGATAACAGATGACATAGTAGAGTCATTTATTCGGATTTCTAAGGGTGTCAAATTTATAATCCCAATTAGCATAATTGACATTATTTAAGAGATAATATGTTTTTGAAGGCTATAATTGGACTTGTTGAAATATCAGTAAATATTAGCTTGTTCATATATAAATATGTATTGCATTTAATTCAGTTTTGCTAATTAATTCAGCTGATTGAGCGCCATTGTATTAGTCGAGCGAAAATATACAGAAGAACGTCCATTATTTAATCGCAACTTATACTTTTGAAGAAATTTGTTTATCGATTTAACAGCGTATACAAAGGTACCTCTCGAAACCTCGAGTATTCGTATTCGTATTTGTATTCTAATTCTAATTCAAATTGTAACAGTAACTGTGACGTGCATGAAATAAATTTAACAGGACTTATGCCACTTTTAAAATAAACGACACATATAGTTTAAAATAATGTATCTATCCAGTTCCGACTAAGGGAAGGAGAATGAGGCAAATACAGGTAGGTGTCGTTTAATGAACTAATATAAAATAATTGCGAAATTTCAAGAAAGATAAAGATATCAATGACTGTAGAAGGCTACCTACGTGACTGGTACAGGAGACACTGATCACTGATCTTACAAATGATTATTTTAATATACCAAAATATAATCCACTTATACTCTTTGTTGAACTCTCGGTCAGACAAAAGTAATATAAAAGAAAATAATATAATTGAAAAGTAATATAATATCTATCTAAAATCTATGTAATTTACAAAAAAGAAAATGTAAACTAATATAATCAGATACAAAATATTACAAATAAAGAACAAAAAATAAGAAAATAGATTGATAGACAATCTAATAATAAAGACAATTTAACAATAAAGCAATTATCGAATAAAATAATATATAAGTTAAACGGTTGAAGTAAGTTCCTATGATGTTTGTCAAGACCGAGCTACAAGACGGCTGGCGGAAGAGTGTCGATCTTTTCCTTCCAAACAAAGAAGCTTCCGTCAATGGTAACAGTGTTCAAGGTTGCCTGCGCAATTTCTTCTGCAATTAACAAATCGCTTACTATAGTTTCTTAATTTAAATTGGATAGTCCCTCTCGCTCGTCTGTTGTCAAAATTCTCATTATTTGGAGGCTACGAACAAGGCACTATCAAATACAATGTAGACAAATGTGTAAGGAATATTTTAAGAAAATAATATGTAAGAAATATTATATTTTAAGATGTAATATTAGTTTTGGATAGATATAGGATACTATAATCTTAAGTTAACGATAGATAGTAATAGGCCAGTCAATAAAGGGCAAATAAGAACCTTTTGAGCTGCCGAAGTACATATTTGATATTTATGGTAATTCGACGACGCTGAATCGAATGGTGCAAAATTGTTTGCAATTGGATGGCGCATTTCCGAGAAAAAGGGTAAAAATGTGTATAAAACGGCCGTATCTTAGAATCTAGGCATTTAATCGAAAAAAGTTTCAAAGTCTCAGGCGCCTATGGTTCTTGGTTTACATTACTGCTAGTATTTTATTTCCGCTGATCTACGCGCTTATCTGACCTCTCATGTCATCTCTCATTCGCCAAAAACATTAAAAAATGCAAATAAAAGAGGGAAACCGGTTTGGTTTAATTATATAAACATAGGTCGTTATCTGTTCCAAGTTCAATTTGTTACGCGTTAAGATCAACAAACACAACTATTTTTCGAATGATTTTCTTCTAAGTTACTTCATCTCAATTGTTTCATTTATCTTTCTCTCTTACTCAAAGTTATCGGGTGATTGAACAAAATTACAGGACGCATCGAGGTATACTTCATTGTGCACCTTCCTCACAACAAAAATATTATTATTATATATACTTATATATATTTATACCTTCGACAACGCAGTATTTGTATTTGGAAAGAAACCGTCGAACCATAAACTTATCGGGTTTTCCCAATAATATTTATGCGCTATTTTTAAATGATAATATTTTCAGAAGTGTTTTGAGTAGTTATACAAACCTATCAATATTATCTATTCGTAATTGCACTGATGTTCTTAATTCTATTTGGTACCTTAATAAAGGAAATCTCATTGATTTGGATATGTCATCAAACAAATTAAGGGAAATTTCAACAGGATTCTTAGCAAATGCGAAACGTTTAAAACGTTTATCTTTAGATCGAAATTCTCTTGTTTCACTATCTTTTTTAAGCTATTTAGGTTCTCTCACAAATTTGTCGATAGCTTACAATATGCTTATTAATATTACGCCAAATTATTTTGCTAATCTAAAAAATTTGCTGACATTAAATTTGCTGACATTAAATTTGCGGGGTAATCGTATCGAAAAAATCGACRAAGATGCTTTCTTAAACTTGAGGATGTTACAAAAACTTGATCTTGCAGAAAATAATCTGACTGCGCTTCCTACTACATGGATGAATACCTTGACMGAGTTGCGGTATCTTAATTTGAAATCGAATCCGTTTTCTAGCATCGATAGCATGTCTATAAATGCTTTTTCTAGTCTAAATCACTTAGTTTTGGGAAACAACACCTTCATACAAATAGATATGAGTAGTTTAATAAAATTACCCTCAAGTGTTATTGTTCATTTGGCATCGATAAATAATGCTACATGTGTAAMGTAAATGTGTTTTATTAAATTCAAAATAATCTATTATTATATAAAAGGCATAATATTAGTGAACACTTACAATTATCTTTGTTAAATAAAATACTGTAAACAAATGAATAAATTATAGTGTTGATCCTATTGCTTCATATTCCTATTAATTTTATTATTTAATTTTGTTATTTAGTGAAAATAATATTAAAAATTCTATATCAAATTGATAAAAATGTAATAAGGTTTAGCTACAATGAGATTCGAAAAAAAGATAAACATATTCCCATATTACGCCCTGCTGAGTCCATCAGCAAAGACACTGATCCTATTTTTCCACTGGACACCTACGACGACACGTTTTGACAACCAGCGAAGAATTTACAAAGAAACCGACGAACAAAGTGATATTTCTTATTTTTAATAAACCCTTCTTCTTCCTTACGTATGAATAAATAAATAAATTAAATTATACTTAATAAATATATATATATATATAAACCTTTATCAATTGTATTAGATATCTTTATATTTTATTTTATTATTTTATCGTCTTATTTACAAATTTAGAGTATGTATTATATTGGTACGCGGTATAGTGACAGTTATTTTTGATGTTTTTGTTTGCAGTTATTTTGGAGGTTATTGAGATTATACTCGTTTTGATAGTACAATTTCTTACGTGCGTACATAAGTACACAAATACGTTTTTTTTATAGCAAAGTTTGTATCGCGCGTGGCCTGACGGAGATTTCCTTCAGAATTCGTTTGGTACTCAACGTGTTAAAGAAACAGGATTTAGTGGAAGATGAAAATCCATCCATGGAAATGATTCCAAAGATAACATCAATGGATAGGACAACCTAATATTTGGTATAGATATGAAAATATATTATTTCTTAATTTGCGAAAATAACTATTATTTTCTCTTATTTAAACTGTATTTCGATTTAAACAAATACAAACAAATACGAATACAAATTTCAATTATATTATTTTTATCGTGATTATACTTTGTTACTTATTATTGTTTGTTACGTACATTATTTCTTTTAGTGATAACTACTTTGTAATGAATAATCTCTTGCTACATGCGTAACCTAATTTAGGTATCTTTCTTCGTTATTTAAATTAATCATGTTTTATTAAATCTTAAGCTTTTAATGCAGATAAAATGATATAAAACTTAATATGATGGAAAAATCATAGGTTAAGAAAAGTTGAGATTTTTACGCTTTTTCTTATGCATTTAGCAAATAAACATATGTCAACAGAAACTTATCTACATGTTCCTACATGGTAGTAAAATCTCGGATTTTCAATATTATCATTTCTTCGACGGAAGTTGTTCATTTAACATTGCAGCAATCTAACGATTAAACGAGTTTATTCTAAGTGCGCGAGAGATTATATCTTTTATATAAATCAGAATAAATACTAATCCTGTAAGAGTAAAGTTAAGTTATTTTCTTTCCATTTAATTATTGTATATCGCTCATGTATACGTGTGTTCTTACAATTAATAACAAGAAAAACGAATAATAAAACAAATAATTCGTGTATTTTCAAAAATGATAAAAATTCTAGTTTTTATGTAGATCTATGACAAAAATTTTGGTGAAAAAGTTTTATCCTTGAAAATGACAACTAGTAGATAACATTTCTCTCTTGCTGCATTTATAAATWATTTTTCTAATTTTGCCTATTTTCCAGATTTAATCATGCTCGCTATCTTGTTAGGTTCAATTTTATTTCTATTTGCATTACATTGTGTTATAAGATATAGAAGAGTGGGAAGACTTTTAAGTCTTATTCCAGGACCTCGCGAATATCCGATAATTGGAAATATGTATCATTTACAAGTTGACGATGGTGTGTGTAAGGAATATTAAAATATTTCTATTTAGGATTAATACTGAAAACTATGTGATTTTTCCCAGTCGATAAAGTTCTCACTTAATAGTAACTTTTTTTTTCAATAATACAGAACATTTAATTAAGGAACTTTGGAGAATAAGTAATGAATATTATCCAATTTACAAAGTCTGGAGCTTCTTTATTTCTTCGATAACTTTACTTGATCCAGATGATATTCAGGTAAATTATTATAAAATAAAAATAATATAAATATTTTAGAAATTTAATTTTAACTTTTTGAAGTACAGAGAGGAAAGCTGAAAAAATGTGTTCCAATTTATTCATTACAAAAAATGCATAGGCGAATATTTTTTAAACTAGCACGCGAAAATTTAAAATTACTTTATACAAAGCATGGCTTGTCAATCTTTGTATCTTATACAGCTACAGTTTAAAAAGACTATTTTCAATTTGAAAAAATTTTTTTTTATGTAATACAAATTCTCAGATAATAATAAAAAACAAATTTCGGTGTGATTCATAAGCATAAAATTTCGTGCTTCAAAGAATTAAACCGTAAATCGAAAAATCAATTTATATGATTTAAAAAATATGAATTTCCATCGTAGGAACTACTGAAGAGCAAGGAACATATTGAAAAAGCTGCTCTCTACAAATATCTTAGGCCCTGGCTTTCATATGGATTACTAACTAGCGGCGGTAAGTAATTTAAATTATTAAACAAAATTTTATAAACAATATATCTAAAATTAAGGTTTCTAAAATTGATGCAGTGAAATCGCGCGTAATATAAATACATCTTTGTTAATTTGAGCCTTACAAAGAGATATATACATTTTCTTCTTCATTTTTCTACATTCCCATCTGTTTTTCATATAATTAAAGTTTTCGATTTTTATTACTGTGACAAATATTTCGTGAAAGTTCGATCTGTACTTTATCCTCGAAGTAATAGGAGCCTGAATTAACAAAGAATCAGCTATCCCGAGTATTTATTTATATTCTTACAGTGCGAACCAAATTTCATAACAATAAGCAAACTAGAGATATTACTTAAAGCTTTTATCGCTTGTAAATAAGCACAGAAAACTTCAAGGACGCATATTATCTTATATATCAGTGGTGACGATGATCCACGCAAATCTTTGGACTGACCTACGCGTCGATAACACCGGTCAACATGACTTTCCTTATCCAAAACATAATTAATTTTTTTCACTAACTTTGTAGTGCCGATTACGAAATCAGACCTAATTTTATCGTATCACATCAGATTTTTAGTAAAATTAATATATTCGCTATTTTTGATTTTTCAATGGTATACAACGTTCCGCGTTAGTTTGTGTTTTGTTTTTCTTATTTTCCTTATACGATATTATTTACATTTCTCTGCATTAGTTTTAGGCATCTCGAAAACTTTAACAAAAATTTAAATGTATACTGATTCTGGTCAAAAATATTAAAATATGCATATCAGTGCACAGTAAATATAAGGGAGTTATATCAAATTACATCATGCGTCAACGGGCCTGGCGCGGTGACAGCACTAGTTCCTGCTCGATCATTTAAGTCAAGCAGCACTTTGAGTACGAATTAGAACTTGGATGGGGGGTGACCGCTTGAGAAAAAAAATTTGAATCGCATCGTAAATATCGGCAACTTCGTGGTGTCGATTTTTCACTTTCCAAAACGCGCCGAAAGAATTATAACTTCAAAATACTGTAGAAATGTATGAAAATATTTATCGATGTTGAGTCAATATATTCCTGTTAAAAATTCTTAACGTCAATAAATTTTGTAAAATTGACGAATAGAAATAAGTTTGGAAATGAATTTTCTGCGAATACTGAAGAATACAGAATATAAATCATGTGACGAAACAATCCGAAAAGAAACAACACAACAAGACAAATTTATTACGAACTCATGGCCTTTTTTTTCCTCAGTGCCCTTAGTTGATCCCCGTCCCTTTTGCAAACTTCTTCGAATTAACGCTCCAAGCGACGATAAACCGAATTTGACTCAGGCATCCAAAAAGATTCGCCATCGAAGCTATAGACCCTTATGATAAAAAAAGAATGAAATGCAATTGGTCTTGTGAAGCCTTACGATTTATTTAATAATATTTTATATAAACCTAATTTTTGACAGGTGAAAAATGGCACTTACGACGAAAGATGTTAACTCCTGCGTTTCACTTCAATATCCTTAAACATTACTTTATTAATTTACATGAGGAGTCACAAAATCTCGTCGAATTTCTTAAAAAGGAGGCAGATGGAAATCCTATTGTCAAAGATTTACGAACAATTATCAGCAAGTACACTCTCAACGCAATATGCCGTTAGTGAAAAAACAACATTTTCTGTATATGTATTTAATAATATTACCAATAAATTTTATTTTTGAGTCTTCTTTGTAGAAACAGCTTTAGGTACCCCATTGACAGGACAGAGCGAGCAGGAATCTAAATATCGTCAGGCTGTTCATGTTTATGGCAGAACTGCTGCATATAGGTAAATCATTAATCTTTTGTTTAGAGAGAAAGTCAATCGAATAAAGAGTGTGATTCATTGTTTATTAGATTTACGAGACCTTGGTGCTATTACGATATTATATTTAGGCTTACATCACATGGTAGACTACAAAAAGAAGCGTTAAAAACGTTGCACAGTTTTTCGAGAAATGTACGTCTTTCGTAATAATCATTTATATCTACGTTTTTTTAAAAATTTCTAGATAAGGAAAGTGTTACATTTATTTCAGATTATTGCGGAAAGGAAACGTTTTCACAAAGAAACTAATGGGAAATATTTGCAAATCAATGAAAATATTGAGGAGGATGACGCTTCTTATAAGGACCCAGAGAAGGACGATGAGTGTATTCAAATTTTTTAAATAAAAATAAAGTTATTTGAAGAAACAAGGTCAATAGAGTTTTTATGTTACAGATTCGCAGTCCAAGGAAAGGCTTTCTATGCTAGATCTGCTCATAGCCGCATCTTGGAAAGATAATCAAATAGATGAGGAAGGAATTCGTGAAGAAGTTGATACTTTCATGTTTGAAGTATGTTCTTGTAAATGTATAAATTTAGAAAACAAAAGTAGAAAAATATTTGATGAAATAAAATTTTCTAGGGTCACGACACTACTGCAAGTGCACTGACTTTTGCTTTGAGTCTTTTTGCTAAGCACAAAGATGTCCAGGTAATTATACTAGACAGGATTATCAGTTTAAATGTGATTAAAAAAAGAAACAATATTTTACTTTTTACATATTTTCGAAGAACTATACATTGAATTGTTTCGCTAATTTTAGTTACTTGTTGCTAATACAAATTAATAATAATATTAACTTTATATAAAAAGTTTTATCGGTACTCGAATTCGATCAAAATTTATTAAAATTTACAATGTTTTTAGGCTTAGCGATTTACACAGTTCATACAATGAATAATAAATGACGTACTTATTTTTAGGAAAATATAAGAGACGAGGTTAAATCGATTATGGGTAAAAATAATAATTTGACGATATCGTCGCTTCCAAAACTTTCGTATTTGGAGAGATGTTTAAAAGAAACGCTTCGTTTGTATCCAAGCGTTTTTTTTATTCTTCGGCAGATTTCTCATGATATGCAACTGAGTATGAAAATATTTGCACATATTTGTTTACTTTAATATCGCTCTTGTACTATTATATTTATTCTTTATTTTGTTCAACGTGAAATCATATTAATTTTGCAGAACAATATTTAATTCCATCTGGTACTATTTGCGATATAAGTATTTACAACGTTCACAGAAATCCAGAATATTGGCCAAATCCAAATGTTTTCGATCCGGACAGATTTTTACCGGAAAATATCAAAGGACGACATCCCTATTCCTACATACCATTTAGTGCGGGGCCGAGAAACTGTATTGGTAAATGTCTTATTTAGAAAGTTAATTTTTTTTTGGTTTTATTTAATAATAGAATGAAATACAATCAAGTCAAGATGGACAATACTTTGAATCATAAATGTATAACTAGTTCTTTACAATAAAGCCTTGAATTTAGGAAACAAAACGGCGGAAATAAAGTTGTACATCTAATTCATTAACATCAATTGTAAAAACAAAGGCCGTTACATTGATATGTGTAAGCATAAATAACTTTATTCGGATAACAAAATTATTAATTATCCAAATCTTGTTTCTAGATCAAAAGGGTTGAACCTTTTTAGTCTACATGTTAAATCAACATTTCTCGACGAATGTTTCGCTAGAGAGTTTAGATGTTTTGCTAAATGGAAGTTGTAGCGCTCACTGAAGTTTGCAATTTCTTGTCTTATTGTAGGAATTCTTAAATCTTTATGGATTCTTTCATTAGTTACGTATCAGGGGGCAGTGTAAATCTTCCGAAGTGTTTTTCATTGAAATTTGTGTAAAATTTCGATGTTCGTGGTTTGTGCATACGACATAGAGGAATTGATCTACGTTTCGCAAAACAATACAGAATGAACGTTCTTGTTTCAATTTTTGTTCAAAATTTCAATTTGTTACAATTGTAAAATGTATGAAATTTAGCGTTAGATGACTTCAATATTCTCGTTATTTTTTTTATAAATATTTGAATCTGCTGGTAGAACTCGAACCTGGCAATTATTGACATCATGTAGAAATCAGCACAAAAATTATAAAATTGTTTTTTCTTATTCTTTTATTTTTCATTCCGCAGGTCAAAAATTGGCAATGAACGAGCTTAAACTCATGATGGCTTTTATATTGCACAATTTTGAATTGGAACCGGTTGATGAGCTAGATGACGTTACATTTATGGCAGATCTCACTTTGACCTCGTCTAAACCACTTCGAGTCAAATTTATACCAATTACATAAATATTTTTACACACATTATCCTTTACAAAATATAAGAAAAATTCAAATATAGTTGTAAAGAATTTATTCGTAATTGTTTCATATTTTTTGTTGGAGAACCTAATGTTCTTTTTAATTTACTCTGTATAAATGATGTTGGAGAGTTCGTTGTTTTTAAGTTGATGGAATCATAAACAGGGTGCACAATGAGCATAACGAGGTAAAATTATTTTACGGGTGTTTTACTAGCCACTAAACTATTTGCAAAAAAATCAATGTTGTTGGAACCATCCGTGAAAATAAACGAGAATTGTTTTAATTTTCCAAAGAACAGACAAAATAATATGTCACGTTTTTCAACCAAACTGTATAAATTAAACCATATTTCTCCTACAGTGTATAAAGCAAACCAAATAAAAAAGTGCTTTAACTAACAATAAGTTGCACGTATAACTCAATAAGAGTAGAAAAATATTACAAATTTATACCGGAGAGAAAATTACATTTTATAATAGTACCAAATTTTGTGTAGACATGATGGACAAATTGTAAGAAGATGCAATGTGAAATTGAAAACTTTTATGTGGCCCTTTTAGGTGTAATTTATCATTCTGAACCTAGCTGAAATAAATTCCTGAGTTTTTTTTTTTATAAAGAAACAACTGGAGTAAACATTTCAAGGCAGAAATTTGTAGTCCAGTTGGCTATAGAATTTGGCACTACATATCAGGAATCATAGCAAAAGAAAATGTATCAAACCAATCAACAAATATAAGATCAAATTCTTCAAAAATTCTTACTTTTTTTCAAGTAAGATATTGTAAGGATTACAAAATTACGAAATATTGTTCGAGATGCAAAAAATATGTGTACGGCAAATCTATATTTGAGAACATAATAATTCGTAAAAAATTCAGTAGAACCGAATAAGATGTATTATATATTATTTATATATTTCGAAATAATATGTATTTATATATATATATATTGTGTATGCAAATAAAGAAAACAAAATAACTACCGTTTATTTTTTCTTTCCTGTTTTAAGTGAATAATTGAAATTATATAAAAATAAATTTGTATATAATGTTGTTTCAAATAGGCTACCGACTAAGTATGCTCGTCAGATATAAACAGAGCGAGCGCCGTGTTGTGTCAGAGATGATAATTCAATAGTCAAAATACTTTCAATACATATTTAAACACAAACAAAAACTGCTCACTTTGTATTAAAATTTTCAAAGCTAGACAATTAGTTGGACTTTAAAGTGAAACCTATTTACGCAAGAATTTATTGTTTCATTTAGATGAGTGGGACTGAACAAAGTAAGTAAACATAATAATTTTTGGATAATTCTTGTTAAGGTATTTCATAAAAATGAAAGGCATTTCATATCCTGTATAATTATCTTGAAATTATCATAGTTCAAGTATACAATTTTAAATCATATAAGACTTTGTTATATTATATATTGCAATATAGGAGTTTTGATATAAATAATTGTATATTACAATTTATTTAGCATATATTTTGATATTTAATTCGAGAAGTTAATAAGTGACAAATTCTATTGATATTCTAAATTGAAAAGTAATTGCCAAGTTATTTAAAACGTATTATCAGCAGTTTTATATTCCTCATTGGGAAAACAAATAAAAGTTTACCGCTAAAAAGCATAGTTATGATATTTAATTTCTTTATGCATTGCTTAAAACACGTACTACCAAAAATATTATCGCGGTTGAAGAGTTTAATTTAAATAAACAAAATCTCTTATCGTTAATTTTAATTCTTTCTTTTTAATGTAATTTTTATTAAATCACAGGAGTGCATATTCGAACCTCCATTGTTAATTTAAAACAATCAATATTTTTTTATAATAAAATATTTCGAAATTGTTATACAAAATAACATTTATGAGGATTAGTAAATTTTTTAATTCATTTTATTGCATAAGAGTATTTGTTTCCAAATGTAAGAGAAGTAAAATTGTACATAACTGATAAAAAAATTGATCTCACAAAACAATCTCTTAATCATTTTAAAAGTATTATAAAACGCAAAGTAGAATTAATTAAATATTGCTTACCAAAATAATAATTGTATTTTTAGTATATATTCTGTAAATGAAAATATTTCTGTTTGACCAATTTTGTATGATTTAAGTAAAATTATATATTTCTCTAACAATAAAATTTTCTTCTCCAATAAATGTAATATTAATTTTACTGTTTAAATAAATTTCTATTTATAAGAATTTTGAAGCTCTTCATAACGAGCAAATACCAATTTAATCAAATTTAAAATTTAAAATGAGAACGGGTACGAATACTTCAATGACTGATTCTGTATGTTTTTCGGTTAGCGTATAGAAATATCATTTTTTAAGTCTAACAACAAAAAAACTCTATGTTTCAAGTAATTTTCTACGTATCAATAATTTAAATAAAACGGTTTTCTAATATTACTATGTTCATATAAATAGCATCTGTTAAAGCTATTTATATTTAATGATGTTCTCGTGACGATTACGAGTAAACAAGTTTTTGCTCTCCGTACAGGTTATTACGAATCAAACCGCTTAGAGCATATCGTTGATTGGATTAGCAAATTAGAAATACAAAATAATAGTTTTTTAATGATTAATTATAATCTGTAAATTGTCATTATTTTATTATGCATTTTAATTAGGAGTAGAATAGTAACAGGTTTATTATATGAACACTTTTTTTCAAACTCTCCGTAATCATTTTTGTTTATTTTTCATAAGTTAAATTTATAAAAAAAAAATGTTTTATCATTATAATTATTCTTCTAACTACTTTTAAAGACTATATTACAATTACTTTTACTTACAATATTACTTTTAAATACATGTTATGAAATATAATTAGAATAATGAAACGTTTATAAAATCTAAAGTAAATCTTGTTGATACTCCGATGGAAGAATATTCATATTTGTCAGGAAAATATCATTTATACTGAATACCAGTATTCTGTAATAAAAAGAAATATTAAATTCGTGCACAACAAATCAATTTTTTTGCTAACAAGGACTCAATACAACATTTTTAACTTACAAGAGGAGGGTGGTTGTCGCTGAGATTTTTTTCAAATTTTTCACACTTATATGACTGTATATTTATAAATAAAATAGAGTTTTATTTTTCATAGGCTTAAGAGGAGTAAAAATAATATAACAGTTAGAAGCAGCGTGAATTAACAAGCAGAATCATAACGCAAATGAGTAAGGAAGCCGAAAATAGGCCGATTGTCAAGAAGTTTGATGGTGCACGTGCTAAAAGAACGGGATTTAGTGACATTGAAATTGATTACAAGTTTTAAGTTTTTGTTTTCATTTACACGAGAAAAATGCTTTTCTGTATAAAAACTAATCTAATAAACTTATTGTTGATCGGATTAATTTGGGGATTCGTTATGTTTTTAAAATCAGCTGCTGTCTCTCCTCAATTAAGAAAAGTAAGTTAATATATATTTTCTTCAGCTTTGACTGTTCCAACTTTGAATCTTCTTATCTTGAATCAATTACGAGTTTACACGTTATTGTTATTTTTTTCTAATTATTTTACTCTTTATAATTATACACTTAAAAGTGATTTGTTACATTCCTAAAGTTTGGAACGTTCCTTACGACTCACCCTATATATTATTTATTACATTAATTTTATAATATTAATTTAATAATTATAATTATTTTCAGAGATTAGTATTTTCGCCAGATTCTACGGCTTTTATGTTTTGGAATGACTCAAAGGAATTACCACCCGTTCGGAGGGATTTTTATATTTTTAATTGGACGAACCCAGAAGATTTCATTCTACTGGGGAAAAACCCAAATTTAGTTCAAGTTGGTCCGTATAGCTTTATGTAAGTATTTAATAATAAAATAAATGATTGTCACGAGAAAATATTTAAAATATGGATACAGAACGAAATTGATGGGACATTAATATTGATTTATTAATATTGATATTTGATAATATTGATTATTTTTATTATTATTATGATATTAAATTTTATTAAGTGCAATCAGTGATCGTAATATAAAGAAAATACAAATAGCATTGAGTGAGAAATATACAGGATTAGTTCAAATATAAAATAAAATCAAAACTGATTTATTGTTTATTGAATTGACACATGCATAAACCACAATAATATACATTAATAAACCACCTGTATAATTTTATTGTGTATAAGTTACTAGTTTGTTTGTTACATACAGTCATTTGATAAATAATCATCATTTCACTTACATTGTGTCAGTTTGTAAAACCTATGCGTTAGTTCCCTTGGTCTTAAAAATTATAGTAAGTAAGTAAAGAATATTTTGTAATATAACATTACAGAGAAATGACGAAAAAGAAAAATATTACGTTCCATCCTGAAAATAGTACTGTTAGCTATTTTCAAGAACGTTCTTGGTATTTTGATAAAAATTTAAGTAATGGGACATTGGAAGATAATATTACGCAAGTCAATGCCATCAAAATAGTGAGTATTTAACAAATATTTTTATTCGATTAGAATTGTAACGACAATTATTTTTCGTTTCAGTCGGCTTTGCATCAATCACGATACTTGCCTAATTCAGAGCGAGAATATTTCGACATTTATAACTCAAAATCAAATTTAAGTATAGTATTAACAGTTAATGAGCTATTATTTACTGGATACAAAGATACAATTATTAATGCAAAGAAAATCACGGCAATGGTGCACTTGCCTATTTTTGATCGCTTCGGTTGGTTTTACAAGGTATGCTAATTTATTGATATATATGTAATTGCATTATTAAAATGAAACAAAAAAAAAGACATTGCACTAAATAATCTCGTACAAATAAATTTGTTTGTTGTGCGAGAAAGGATACAATTAATATGAATAAACACAAATTATAGCTAATTATATAGTAGTTATTTTATTACCATGGGCAACATACATTTTCATGGTTGCTCTGTATAATGCATTGTTTTTATCTTATATTTGAAATAAATTATTTTCTATAAGATTGTTGTATTAAGAATATAAAACTTGTAAATTTTAGAAAAACGGTTCCATAGACTTTGATGGTAACTTGAATATGGATACTGGTAATAAAAACATCAAAAATTTAGGTTTATTGAGAAAGTGGAATTACGAAAATGCGACAAAATACTACAATTATAGTTGCAATAAAATTGAGGGAGGTACTGGTGAATTTTGGCCTCCTAATCAAACCCATGATGATATTAAATTGTTTGTCCCAGACTTATGTAGGTAAGAAACCTGTCATTTATTTCAAATTATAACGTCTTCTTCATTAAAAAAAAGGTAATGTGTTTAAGAAATAGAAAAAAAAACCTTAACATTAAACGTACAGCAAATCAAATGACCCATATCAAAAATTCATATATTTTATGCCATATGTATAGCAAAAAATAATACCACTTATGAAATATGAATTCTTTATTTACAAAATAGCACTATAACTTGTAAAACATTTTGCTTGAAATTTTAAAAAGAGTCGTCTAATCCGTAGTGGTAGGTTTAGTGTTAACAATTTTAATAACTTGCAATGAATTTTCCAATATTTACTGATATTATATATTCCTAAGTAATTTCTACCTAAATTATTGTTACATCGGAATTAAAATAACACAGTAACTTTAGCGGACAAAAAATATTATAGTAAGTGCAGATGATTAAATATTTTTGAAAAGAATAAAAGAAACATTGTGTAAAATTAGCTACATAATATATTCGTTAATATAAACCTTTGCGATATTCTTATAATAGGTTTTTGTTTTATTTAATATGATGAAAGGAACATATTTTATATTTTTGTTAATTTCATACTTCAACTAAGCGTCTCTCGTGAATTCATACATTATCTAGTTAAAATATGTAAGTCTGCATAATTTCTACCTTTAACTGGTCGGCCTAATAATTTCATATAATGACAAGTTTTTTCATAAATTAATGCATTTCACAATTTTTAAAAGTAACATATATTATATAAATATAGGAGAATAGAAAACAATAGAGAAAAACATTTTTTTATAAAAAGAGATCCCCTAATAATAATCATGATTTTATTATCTTTTTTTCGTATCTCTCTTAAACACTTCGTTTTACTTTTACAGACCATTAACATTCGAATTCATAAAAGAAAAATTTATTATGGGTATTAAGACCAATCAATATAGTCTGGGAGAAGAAACTTTGGGAAACATTATGGAAAGACGTCGGTCACACGAGCAAGAAAAATATTTTAAGAAGACCATCGAAACTAAAAAAGATCAAGATTTTCGTATATTAAATAATTGCTATTGCAATGGCGAATGCAGTCCTAGTGGTTTAATAAATATAACAGCTTGTCGCTATGGAGCACCAGTTTTTGTTAGTCTTCCTCATTTTTATAAAGGTGATCCTATTCTTAGTAATCAGGTTTTAGGGATGAACCCAAACGAAGATGATCATAGCTTCTACATTAATATAGAACCTGTGAGTATTTTTAAATGATTATATGTGAGTAATCTTTATTAAATAATCGTTAATAATTAATACGTAACTATAATACGTATGTTCAAATATTTGGTGTTACAATTAAATTGATGAGGGCCTTGATATTAAATTCGTTGCATCAAAGTAGTCATATTTTTCTCGTCAAGTGATTTACAAGTTGCCTGAAAGATAGATCAAAGTAATCGAAAATAAGGAAGATTATTTCGAACAATGACAGATGTATTTTATAAATAAATACTAAATTTGCTCCCAAAAAAGTATCGAATTAATTGCTATTTCTAATGAAATACATGTTAATATTATTATCTAGTAGAAGAATTTTCAAATTTTTCAAATTTTGTATAAAATTAATAAAAATACAAATACATTCCAAATGGTGTGTTTATAATCAAAAAATAAATTATTTTAATATATTCTTAAATGTGTGAAACTCGTTAAAATATTAAAATGTATTTTTCTGAACACATTTGCTTAAATATTTTGTCAAAAAATTGTACCATCAAAAATAACGTGATGTACAATAATATTAGTGATAAATGTAGCATAATTTGAGAAACGATGCTCTACTATCTTGCCTGGTAGCAACTGAATATTTTCTAGTTTTTGCAATAACCGTTCAATTACATTGTTAAGAATTTCAATATAATATTAAATAATATATAAAATCTATCGTGTCTAAGAATAATTTTTTGTATTTGACAGTTAACAGGAATTCCATTGGAGATGACAGCTCGATTACAAATCAACATGCTCATTGAATCGTCGTATAATGTATCGTAAGTACATTTGAAGTTATTGTGAAAGATTTAGTAAAGGTGTACTCAATCTTTTTCCCTCGTGGACCCCATACGTTTGTTTTCTATATCAAGCTAGCCGCACTTTGACATGTGTTGAAAAACAATGACAGAAAAAATAAAGTCACCGAGTTGGAAAAAGATAGGTATATTAAAATATTAATAAAATCAATGATTTCGTTTCTAACGAAAGATCGATCCCGTATGGTGATCAAACAACCGTCAGTCAATTTTAATTATTAAAATACAAAGATAAATTCTCACACACACGACTCGTTTGACAGATCGTATCTGGAAGTTTTCCGAACTATGTTAGTTTAGGAGCCTATGGAAAGCAGGATAAACATATTTTATCAAAGTCCAAATTTCGTTTAGTCAATCTATTTGATCCCAACAATTTGATCCCTCTTTTCATATTTTTTCAGACTTGCCAAAAATGTCTCAAATATCTACTTTCCTATATTCTGGTTCTCTATGAAAATTAATGCTCCGAAAGAAATCACTTATTTTGTGAAATATTTGCTTTCTATTTCCGAAAATTCGATGGATTTTGGTATCATCATGCTATTAATGATTGTGACACCACTTTTCGCTATTATTTTTCTTCATTTATATATTTCCGGCACACAGAGAATAAATTCCGTGAGTTATCAAATTTTTCCTTAACGCAAAATATTGACATCTTTTAAAAACTTTAATTTTATTTAGGATACAATGATTAGCGACGATCTTTCAATGGATTTAATAAATAATGCTGATATTTTAGAATCGTTTTGATTAGAGAAACGTAAAATTCGTCTATTTGGACAAATTCGATTCCAATTGAAATTATAATCTAACAATAAGAAGTGACCACGTAGATAGTTTTTACTTCTATTACATTTTTCACTATCTTTACATCTCTATATTATATAATAAGCTATACCTGTGTCAGTTCGAATTGATACTTACGACATATTATTTCAGAATTTGTAGTTAGTCTCATCGTTAAAGAAAGTTATCTAATCGAATAATATCTAATCGTAATAAGGAAAAAACTTCTTTAATTAACTTATTATCATTTCATTATAGTTAATAAAAATATATAAATATAAAAGTATGCAATATGTACACATATTACAAATGTATACATATTCTAATATATTTGTAAATTTTTATCTGAAAATAAATTATTAATAAAAAATTATTAATAAAAAACAAAATATTTTTAATTTTGAATATTTAAAAAGAAGATAGATGAATAACAAGTTTTTTTCTTATTACCTTAAAAAAATCTTGTATAAATATACATGCAATATTTTTCTTTTTTTGTTATGAATGCCAAGACGTAGGTTGAGAATTGCTGGGCAAATATATTTAAATGAATTTTTTTAAAATCGCAAAATTGTAAAACTCAAAATTAAAAGTTTTGATAATTTTTTAATTTTTCATAGCTACATTAATAATCAAGACAAAAAAAAAACAATTAAATGGGCAACATATGACTTAACTATACTTCCGTATTATAAAAGTTATCCTAACTTTTAATATTTTACGAACTGACTATTTATTATAAATTTAAAATTAAAAATTTAAAGAGTAAGAACAGAGAAATTGTCATAAATAAAATTTTTGTTTATTTTTATCGATTAATTAATTACAAATAGATATTTACGTTGTCTAATGTTTTAAATTGTAAATCTTGTAAGAGCAATATGCCTAAGAACAATTACAATATTATTATTTTAATATAATGACAGATTTAGAGATTTTTTTGTAATAATATGCTTTGTTTAGCGAAGGCTTGTTCCCGGATTCATGCAAATCAACGTTTTTTTCGAAAAACCAGACAGATCCTAATACATGCATTTAAAACACGGATCCCATATATATTTTTTTCATTCTATTTAATTACATAATTATTAAATATACATACATATTTAAAAATTTTTAATTGCATTTTTTTTAAACATTAAAATATATTACTCAATAATACAGAGATAATTAGAAGTT